ATACTTTATCTGACGATAAATATATCAATACATTTTTTCGTATCGTGATATGTATCGTTGACCTTAAAATTGTTAATTTTCATTAGATATTGACGGTTATGTCAAAATTTCTTGCTATTAACATATATTTTTTAAAGAAAATAACTAAAGAAAGCATATCGTGATATGCATCGAATCGAATCGTATTGTTTCAAGATATCGCGATAAATATCGTATCGTGAAATTTCTGTATTGTCACACCTCTAGCAATAAGTATAAAGCACTAAATATGTCACACTGGGTCAATGGCTATCATCATGGTTCAGTGCGTGTTATCATCATACTTGGACGTAAATAATTGATACTAATGAGCGCCATGGACACACTATTCTCTAGGTATTCATTGCATCCACAATTTGATAAATATTCATTTATTATTCATCCCATTCTGGGAGTAAAGTAAATGAGCTTCCATGATCCAATCAGGATTACATAAGACTGCCTGCTGGGAATTACCTAAGACTTGGTACACGCTGTAACAGTGATGCTGATTAGACAGACACAGGATCAGGCAACACTCTGGACAATCATAGTGAGCATTATCTGTTGCATTATCTGTTGCATTATCTGTTGCATGGCGTTACTGTTGCACAAGACGTAGCAGTCACAGGGGCACAGTATATTAGCTTATACGTCAGTGCAGTCACAGGGGCACAGTGTATTAGCTTACACGTCAGTGCAGTCACAGGGGCACAGTGTATTAGCTTACATGTCAGTGCAGTCACATGGGCATAGTGCATTAGCTTACACGTCAGTGCAGTCACAGGGGCATAGTGTATTAGCTTACACGTCAGTGCAGTCACAGGGCACAGTGTATTAGCTTTACACGCAGTGCAGTCACAGGGCATAGTGTATTAGCTTACACGTCAGTGCAGTCACAGGGGCACAGTGTATTAGCTTACACGTCAGTGCAGTCACAGGGGCACAGTGTATTAGCTTACACGTCAGTGCAGTCACAGGGGCATAGTGTATTAGCTTACACGTCAGTGCAGTCACAGGGGCATAGTGTATTAGCTTACACGTCAGTGCAGTCACAGGGGCACAGTGTATTAGCTTACATGTCAGTGCAGTCACAGGGGCATAGTGTATTAGCTTACATGTCAGTGCAGTCACAGGGGCACAGTGTATTAGCTTACATGTCAGTGCAGTCACAGGGGCACAGTGTATTAGCTTACACGTCAGTGCAGTCACAGGGGCACAGTGTATTAGCTTACACGTCAGTGCAGTCACAGGGGCACAGTGTATTAGCTTACACGTCAGTGCAGTCACAGGGGCACAGTGTATTAGCTTACACGTCAGTGCAGTCACAGGGGCACAGTGTATTAGCTTACACCGCCAGTGCAGTCACAGGGGCACAGTGTATTAGCTTACACGCCAGTGCAGTCACAGGGGCACAGTGTATTAGCTTACACGCCAGTGCAGTCACAGGGGCACAGTGTATTAGCTTACACGTCAGTGCAGTCACAGGGGCATAGTGTATTAGCTTACACGTCAGTGCAGTCACAGGGGCACAGTGTATTAGCTTACACGTCAGTGCAGTCACAGGGGCACAGTGTATTAGCTTACACGTCAGTGCAGTCACAGGGGCATAGTGTATTAGCTTACACGTCAGTGCAGTCACAGGGGCATAGTGCATTAGCTTACACGTCAGTGCAGTCACAGGGGCACAGTGCATTAGCTTACATGTCAGTGCAGTCACAGGGGCATAGTGCATTAGCTTACACGTCAGTGCAGTCACAGGGGCATAGTGTATTAGCTTACACGTCAGTGCAGTCACAGGGGCATAGTGTATTAGCTTACACGTCAGTGCAGTCACAGGGGCATAGTGTATTAGCTTACACGTCAGTGCAGTCACAGGGGCATAGTGTATTAGCTTACACGTCAGTGCAGTCACAGGGGCACAGTGTATTAGCTTACACGTCAGTGCAGTCACAGGGGCATAGTGTATTAGCTTACACGTCAGTGCAGTCACGATGATCAGGGTAAGAACTGGTCTTCAGTAACCAACCCATGCTTGTCTTGAGAGGCACAAACTGGCTAACTTGGTTGATACATGTCATTATGTAGAACGATGCTCATGATGTCAATCACTGGTTTGTCTGGTCCAAACTTGATTATTTACAGACCGTCATCAGATAGCTGGCATATTACTGAGTGAGAGAATAAACAGCAAAAAATCAAAATAAATTAATAGACACCAGTGTAGCACAATGACTTCATGTACACTGTCTACAGTCACTAGTGATAGATTTGTACATGTATACAAAATGACAGATGGAGATCACGCTCTAAGTAACCCACTGACACAGTCAACATAGGCCCATACAAACATTTCCTCACCTTTGTGTGTGAGCAAGCATGTTACTACAATGTATTTTGTGACAGGTAATCTAAAGTTTATATGTCAGCTTCTGAAATCCATGTTGAGTTGACTTGGACATAATGCAGACATGAGACAAGACACCATTATGAAAATATCAACAAGGAAAGATTTTTCAAATACTTAAACTGTTATTACAAAACCCCATAAAACCATAACAGACTTGTCAACAAATCAGACAATTGCAAAAGTCAACAGATAAACTTGCACAACAAAATGACTAGAGACTGGATTTAGGTTCATGGGCACTGGTCCCAACATGAACTGGTCCCAACATGGGCACTGGTCCCAACATGAACTGGTCCCAACATGGGCACTGGTCCCTACATGAACCACCAGCAGCACAGACACAATGTTATGGCAAACGCTTTCATTCCACAGCTGGTTAGAAGAAGGAAGTGCTTTGATTATCCTGTTACATGCAAAGATTAACCATTGCAGATGTGATAACATCAATAATCCTGGTTCCTTGAGATGCATGTAGTGCAATGGCAGAAACTTGTTCTGTAAATTCATGTTTACCATTCTTTATCTTTCACAAGGAGTGAATGAGTGAGTTTTATTTTTATGCCACTTCTAGCAATATGTAATATCACGGCAGGGGACACCAGGAACGGGTATCACACATTGTACCCATGTGGGGAATCGAACCAGGATCTGTGACATGACAAGTGAAGACTTCAACCATTAAGCTGCCCCACAACCCCCTTTCACAAGGAAGAGAATGGAGTCAAGGATTCACAATACAGTTGTCTACCAAAACATTATCATGAGTATCCTTATATACTATCACTACTGAAATGTGTACAATAGACAGAATATATACAGATGTGGAACCTGAAATGGAGTTGAACATTTAATTAAATCTTTTAGTCTCGCTAATATATCTATGAACAGTGTGAGACAACTAAGCATTACCATGATGAGATGGGAAATCCCAATTAACAATACTGACATATCAGGGTCTAGGTTGATTTTACAAATATTATTACAGTCAGGTATTATACAAGACATTGTTTGCAGTGTGTAAAGCAGATATTCTATCAAGTTGTGACTAGTGTTTTCACAGGAAGAACTACATAGACAATTAGGGCTGTCGGTTAAACAGACTCTAAATACCAAATAATTAATTGGGTGTAATGTGATTTTGAAATCATTATATTGTATTTCCTTAAACCACAGGAGAAATATGAAGGCACACATTTAGTTGGTATTTTGGTTTTTGGTCTAAAAGATCTTGACCATTCTGTTCTGTGACATTCTGTGATTATCCATACTTTATTGTCATTTTCTTATGTCATTTTATGGTTCAAACATTGTGGTATTGTGGGTTTCCAAAGCCATGATGATTGTTTGCATTAGTTGTAAAAGTTTAAAGATTGAGAAAAATACATTTGATACCACAAACATGTTATCCATCAACTTTCATTTGGCGTAATACATATTTTAATTTAAGAGATAATCTGCATAAAAAAATTACTATTGAGCTTAAAATGTGATGTGACAGAGAATGAATGAATATGAGTGTGTATATGTGCGTGCGTGCGCACTCGAGTGTGGGTGCGCACCCATGTGTAATGTGCTGTTGAAATGTGCCAACTGATAAATTCTATTCTATTAAAATTTGTTTTGAAAACTGAAATCAGTTGAGTTGTAGTGGAAGTAAGCCTGACTTCCCAGTGACGGCAATACTGCGTGTACTACCGCTACCCCCAACACAGTGGCCGAGACCTGATACCAGATACTGGTGATCGAAACATATCCAGCTTACAGACTACAGCTGAGACGTCTATACTTGCTATAATTAATTAAACCAGAACTTTAAAGGACGATGATTTTACATCATGGCGACGCGCCAAATAAATAAGCGTTCTAAAAATGATCACATCTCTCAATCTTTCCTGTACAACGTACACAAGTGCACCCTTGTATTCGGCCAGAAATATTGGCGAGGTAGAGATTCAGCACGAGCATCATAGCTGGCCAGCCAGTCACTGAGAGATAACATTCCCATCCCTTCCTCACGGCTTCGGCTGACGATAATATCTTGTCATGAATACATGGCGGTTTTTCTGGAAACCATCATGACGTGATTTCATCGCACAACTCCATTTATACGTCTGAGTCATGTCCACATGATCCCGTTTACCATAACATCACCATCTCAAAGTATTTAACTAAGAAGAATGTAAACAAACCAAGCTCATAATCATCATACCTGAATGGTGTACCTTCTGCTGGCGATCTGAGATTCTTATGACAGTCTTATATGGTCACACCAACAAACAACCACTGAGACACAATATGAAGGAATATGTGTAAGAACTATATTGTTCATGTATTCTGCCGACATCTGTGCATCTGACAGCCATAGCTAGTCTTAACAGGGGCCGGGCAACCGCCGTGTTTATTGATCGACAAGTAATTCACCATCGATTCCACAAGAAAACCTCCCTCTGCCTGGTAACAAAGAGACGCTGAAATGACTAATTTTGAAACATCTGACGTAACGAATATCAATAAACTATGGCATCAGTTGTGTCAGTAAACAAACAACTGACATATTCTATCCCCGACTTACCTTTCCTTGCCTCACAGATGCTCACGGTATCCAGTCCTCATCTCCACAACGTTGAAGATAGCTCCACTACAGAGCTAGTCACGTGGACGTGTGCCTGCGCTAAATATGGAAGTCGCTCTCTGGGACGCGTGCCACGGCGGCGTTCCCGCAAGATCGGATTTCTCAGATACGTATAAATGAATTGATACAAATATTAAGGCTAAACAAATCGTCTGGAGAGAACTGATAGGTACGCTGTAGTTTATCCCGATCGTGTAGTCAACACCAGGAAACAGGAGAGTGTTTGACGTTTCTCTATGGCAACGCGTTACAGGTGCATCAATGCTCTGATAAACACGCAGCGCGTAAGTTATCATGTTAACAAAGAAAGTTACTGGTGGCTATGTAATATCATAGCACAAAGAGAAAATCATTCGAACAGCAACGATAAACTACATCGCTGTAGAAACGAAATCACAAAAAAAGCCTTTCACCTAAAAAATATACACTAGTAAATCTCACTCCATCAATCAAACGTAGGGAAGCATAATTAAATGACTTTCAGCCAATGTTTTTGTTTGTTTGAACATATTTTATTCAGTTTTGAAGGGGACTGGGCACAAGTTATTCAGCTTATTGAAGCCCGCTCCCGACATTTACATGGAAAAAATACATGTAATGGACAATGAACAGAGGCAAGACATATTACACATTAATTGAAACACTTACTATGTACAATGAATTTATGGACTTGACTAAAAATATTTTCACTTACAGTTTGTGGCAGACTAAGGCTGCCGTACAGAATGGTGTTAATGTCTAAATTAACTTTTAGGATTTCAAAGCCTTGTATCAAATCAGACCTGCAGCTGATATACTTTGGACATTTTAAAAAGAAATGATTGGCATCTTCCACCAGAGCACCACAAAGGCAAGCTTTACTTTCAGATAAATTGACACAATGCTTCTACGTTACGTTAAGCATGAAACTGTTTTGCCTGATTCTCAACGATCTTGACGACCATACAGAATGATTTATATCAACCACAGTTTAAGAAGCCAGTAGTTTTCAACGGGAGGATAGTTTAGAAAGTGAGTGTAATTAAACCACATGCAGGATGGTGTAGAACTACACATATATTCAACGTTATAGAAAAGATTCTTTCATGCGTGTATGTTTCAACATTAGATGACAAACTGTAAACCAATATATTTCAACAGTGGGCCAGTTTAAGAGCCCGTTTATGACTAACCCTTGTTACACAGCTCGACGATTTGACACAACACTACGAACAGAATAGCAGTTATGAAACTACAGAACATATGAAGGAAGTATGTTCTGAAACTACACAACATAAGAAGGCAGTCCAACACAACACTACATGTCAGTACACTCTGACTTGTCAAGGATTTTGTCTGGAGACTTGATATTGTTTTGTACATTAAAACCATGAACCTGCGTGAATATGTTTCGATGCAGACAATGACCCTTTTCAACGGTTTGAAGCTTGAATATATTTTTTTACCATTTTCTTTCTATTTATTTTTTTGGCGATAAAATCCAAGGGGATACTGAAGTAACATGTATACACCAGTAGGTGGTGGTGTGTGGTTTTGTACATAGAGCCCTGGGCCCCGATCCTAGAAGCGATCGTAACCCTGAGACGATCGTAACTCCCATACTTTAACATAGACTTACGACAGTCGTAGCGCTACGATCGCTTTGAGCAACGGGGTCAGGTTACAAACCAGTTGAAGTTCAGCAATGTTGGTCACATGAGAGTCCTTGAATGGGTGACCGTGTTTGGCAGCTTGACCCCAGAGGGTGTATTGGACAACATTCCTGCCCAGCAACGAAGTGCACCTGACATATGTGACTTTGTTCAAAATTTCCTCTGTTTACCCAGTAGTGAATGGGTACCCGGTGGGATGTGTAATTTACCTTCAAGCGCCTCACGCCAGCCTGGGTTACCAGACCAATGTCGATGTCAGTGCGGCGTGGAGTACGGCGCCATATATGTTGTCTTATTATAATGGAGTAACAGATAGACTGATGTAACAGATATGCCGATATAATATAGTAACTAATGTACCAAGGTACTGAAGTAACAGATGCTGAAAAACAGACCTAACCTTTTACCGACATCCTAATGTAACCGATAGACATTTAGATGGAGTAGCATGTAAACTGATACATTGAAGTAACCAATACATCCATAAACGGAACCAACACTCGACGATACACTGATGTAACCACTATACCTGTACCACTATAACAACTGACATACTTATGGTGTTTTGATGTTGGTGTTGTAAAGTGAGCAATAAAGCGATCTACTGAAGTGACTAATTTACCCTATTTGGGAAATACAGTTGGCTCTACCCCCATGTTTAGTGTAATAAAGTACGGTTTAGCCCTGAATAGTTCAGGGTAAAACTGTGTACCAGACAATTCAGTGATCAACAGCATAAGCATCGATCTACGCAATTGGGATTCCATAACATTTGGGAACCGATGACATGGGTCAACCAAGTCAGCAAGTCTGACCACCCGATCCCGTTAGTTAAGGGTCCTTCACACTTTTTTCGAATTGACTGGAATCAAGGAGAATTAGCCAGAATTTGTTTTCCAAAATTAGAACCGCATTCGGGAGAGAATGTCAAAAAAAATTCAAGCTTTGTAAGAATGCTGTTGGAATACTTGGAGCGCACTTCGAACCCGCCTCGAATGATTCTTACTCATTCCAAATGTACTAACTATATAGATCAACGAATGCAGCTCGAATGAATCGGAATACAGTAGGAATAATTAGAATGCCGTTAGAACACACTAAGACTACTTAAAATGAATTTCGACTGCTGTGCGTTTCCGGTTCGATTGCTGCATGAATAGCACTCGAATTTCAGTTGGAACGTACCTCGAATGCTGTACGAATTTACATAGGATGCATTCAGAACCCCCCTTGGAATGATCAAATGTTAAAGAATTAAAACAGAATGCAGCTCGAATATTTCAAATGTCCTTCAAATGCACTTAGAATGCAACACGAATGTCCGAAATCCATCAAGAATGCTTCCAGAATGTTCCACGATGGGATTTAAAAAACCTGTTGAATCTGGACAATTCATCAGTCACTGCCTAACTCCCATAGAGTATGGACCAGCTGGACCATGTTGCGTTGCTCCAGATTGCTGGAGGAGACCAGGAGAAGATTCCAGACCAGACCATGGCTGACAGAGGAAAGGAGGAGGCTGTATGGACATTACACAAGACTGCTGGAGGAGCTCAGAGTTGAGGACACGCAGTCATTCTTCAACTACCTTAGGATGGAGCCTGTCATGTTTGATGAGTTGGTGCAGAAAGTGGGACCAAGAATACAGAAGCAGGATACATATATGAGAAAGGCGCTACCTCCAGGCTTGAAGCTGGCCATCACATTGAGGTTCCTGGCTTCAGGTGATAGGTACCCCAGCATCATGTACAGCTTCCGCGTGGCAAGGAACACAATCAGCCTCATCATCCCAGAAGTATGTAAGGTCATTGTGGAGGAATACAAGGATGAGGTTATCATCTGCCCTACCACTCCAGAAGAATGGGCTACCACTGAAGAGGTATTCAGAAACATAGGACTCTACAGAGAAACGGGAGAATCTACAACTACAGGGTCAGCAGGGACCGACGGGTAGTAGAATATGCATTTTGAATCATGGCCCAGAGTTGGCAAATCCTCCTCACCACCACGCTGTCAAGGCCTTCCGTTGTGAAGGACATCATTGAATGCTGTGTTTGCCTGCACAACTTGATGAGGACTCGTTATCCTAATCTCCACAATGGTATGGTGGATGGGGAAGATGAGCAACGTGGTGCTAGGAGGCTGGAGACAACTTGCGCAGTTTGAAGATGTGAATGATATCTGAAGTTTCAGTGACAGGTGGCTACGTTTTTATGTGATTCGGTGGTGTTCTGATGATGTCAGGGCTCATTTGAAGAGCATTCGGGACGTTCTGACTATTCGAGGTGTATTCGATGTACATTCGAGCTGTGTTCCAAGTGCAATCGAAATATTCCGATACGTCTGAAGAATATTCCACCTAAATTCAACCAGCAATCGAAGTACATTCGAGGCGCATTCGGGACATTCTTGCAGGATTTGAAGTTGCTTGCCTTTTCGATTCTCCCTCGAATCCGTTCAGAATACTTAGCATGCAGTGAGAAATGCACTTCAAGTGGTGTTCGGTATTTTTCAACTTCGAATGTACCTCGAAAGTTTTGAACACAAGAGGTGGGGGTGCAGACCCCCCTCCCCCCTTTGTCCTTAAAGTTGATTAAATTTAAATGCCACCTGTTTGTCCTGAAAGTTTATTAAATTGAAATGACCATTGAAACTCTCCAGAAAATGCGTGAAAATGAAATGCGCGCACACACACAGGCACAGACACACACCTTTCTGAACTGCACATCTCCCCTGTTATGTATTGTCAGTAGGTATGATTCCATTTTAAAAGTTATATTAATGATTACATCAGGATATCGGTAAATAGTTGAAATCTATCGCTATGTATTTAGAAGATATTATTTCTCTCTACTCTTTGTCAACTGACGTCTGAGCTGAAACAAGGGATGCAGCTATGCTGTGAACCTCATGTTGTGGACGTTCGGCGTGTTTACAACTGACATGACAAATTCATCCGTTTCAGGAGACTGTTTAAGGGATGTCAAAAGATAAGTGTTTTGCAAAATCATGGATGTGAAAAAGACTATAAGCTTTTAGGTTGGTGACGACATTAATACAATATTTGCAATTCAATACACTATAATTTGCATTTTAACGCGAATGTGAAGCATTTACCTGGTCCGTCTTGTTCCGAATTGGCAACAAATGGTGTATTGCGTGGTCAGCCACATGTAAGTCATTCCTGCCGTACTGCGATCCCACATGAACAGCCTTGATACAATACAATTCTCACAGTTTACTGGAATTCCTCCTCGCGAAAAATCATCCGCGAATACACTATATGCGGTTTGTAATGCAACGGTTATCTCCCTTTAGCCAGTTTGCGAGCGTTTCTTTTACCGGAACGATTGTAGTGCCCTCGAACCTACACAGGACTTCGCCCACTCATGAATTTTCGTCCTTTTTAGCCGGACACCATACATATCATAACATTTGACGTCACGAGTGTAAAATGTCAAGGGCTTGTCAGTGGAATATGCATAATGGTCGAAGCTGAGATAGCCCAAAGAGTTTTCACAATTAAATATAGATAATAAAACATTTGCTTTAAAAATAGGGTACATGTTTCTGATGACTTTATCTTTAATCCAGTCAGCTATTGCAATTTTCTAGTATTCTCTTTTAAGGCACATACAGAGAAAATGAGGTCAGTTTGACAGTAGATGTATGCAGAAGCCATGCGGTGACCCTTGATGTTCCACACACTTTCACACCCCTCAGCTTCATACCATCCTGTCCTCTGTAACTCTCCTGTTATCTAATATACACGTAATTTACCCATTAGTAGCGATGGTTTTATTACTGGGAGGGTATGGACCACACTTTATGGTTTACATATATCTTGGTACACAATTGTATGATTGATGTAGCTCAGTATGTATTTGTACTAAATTTACGTGTATCTGTGACTACGGCGTTTTCGTGGATTGCATGGAGCATGTTTAGTGCTAATATGTGGCTTACAATATTCCCAGATATTATTGACAAAGTTGTTTCGGCAAATATCTAAGACATGTATATAAACTATAGAAGTTTTACCGAAATAAATATGTTGAGATATGATTCTCTTACTGTCTAAGTGTCTTTCCAGTACTTTCTGAGACCACCACGAAAATGTTCAAGTTTTAAGCTGGCCCAGCTGAACATCCCCGATCTTAACCCTATTGAGATTGTGTTGGTTGGGACCAATGAAGGACAGAATAAACCAAAAAGGACTTAGAAGTATTGAGGATATGACGAAAGAAGTGGTCGTGATATGCTGTCACGATTTTCATCAGTACTGCAGTAGTGTGCCTAGGCGCATTTGAAGTCGTGTATTGCAGGGCAAGGTGGTCTCAGAAAGTCCTCGAAAGACACTTAGACTGTAAGAAAATCATATCTCAGCATATTCATTAAGTAATACTATAGTTTATATACATGTATTAGATATTTGCCGAAACAACACCCATCCTACAACAATTAACTTTCTCAATAATATCTTGGAATACTATATCTCTGTACTAACAACCATCTCTCGTACATAATTCGATGCTGATACAACAATCTCACCCTCCATGGCTTGAGACTGAAATTCCCTCTCCAGTAATGCAGCTATGCCATATCCCAAATCCGCAAACATATCCCTGTTGTTAAAAGAACTGTATTTCGTACCGCTAAAGGCCGTGCATTGACAGACCTGAATTGAATCACCTCGTACAATAGATCTTTGAATCACCTCGTACAATAGATCTTTGAATCACCTCGTACAATAGATCTTTGAATCACCTCGTACAACAGATCTTTGAATCACCTCGTACAATAGATCTTTGAATCACCTTGTACAATAGATCTTTGAATCACCTCGTACAATATATCTTTGAATCACCTCGTACAATAGATCTTTCAATCACCTCGTACAATACATCTTTCAATCACCTCGTACAACAGATCTTTGAATCACCTCGTACAATAGATCTTTGAATCACCTCGAACAATAGATCTTTGAATCACATCGTACAATAGATCTTTGAATCACCTCGTACAATAGATCTTTGAACAAAGTATGCTGCAAACATCCACAAAGATACAACTTCCAAACTACAACGGCTACACGAGAAAACCTTAGAGACCTTCCGTCATAGCCAAGAAATCAATGACACTACCTTGGACAAGCTCAAACCAATCAACACCAAATCACCCTATACTTGAGCAGCTGTCAAAATCAATAAGCTATCTGTAAAACTACGAATTCAAGTGTGCTTCCTAGGTGCTGTCCACTACAAAACTCTGCCTGTCCAAGCCCCTACCTCCATAAGGGAAGGAAGGTGAATCCTTCATCGGTAATGAATCTTTTGTAAAAATATCATACACTGTATTTTACTATTCAAGGCACCATTGTCAAGACGTAGTGGGTCCATTCACCAACGTCCAATAAGAAGAAGCCTTATAGTAGTCTTAATTATGCACCAAAAGCACACGCACAACTTCGACACCAGACAACACGACCCACAACCTCGACACCAGACAACACGACCACACCCACAACCTCGACACCAGACAACACGACCCACAACTTCGACACCAGACAACACGACCCACAACCTCGACACCAGACAACACGACCACACCCACAACCTCGACACCAGACAACACGACCACACCCACAACCTCGACACCAGACAACACGACCACACCCACAACCTCGACACCAGACAACACGACCACAGCCACAACCTCGACACCAGACAACACGACCACAGCCACAACCTCGACACCAGACAACACGATCACACCCACAACCTCGACACCAGACAACACGACCACAGCCACAACCTCGACACTAGACAACACGACCACACCCACAACCTCGACACCAGACAACACGACCACACCCACAACCTCGACACTAGACAACACGACCACAGCCACAACCTCGACACCAGACAACACGACCACAGCCACAACCTCGACACCAGACAACACCCACAACCTCGACACCAGACAACACGACCACAGCCACAACTTCGACACCAGACAACACGACCACACCCACAACCACGCTACAACACCCACAACCACGCTACACACACATATATGTATACATGTTCATATATATATATATATATATATATATATATTCACTCTATGAAACGTATATGTCATATTCACCTCATGAAAGGTCTGGAAGTAGCGTATGTATATGTATAACAAGGAAGTTAATTGTTAGCCTATATAATTGCTCATAGTAATAGTCATTGTCACGGACAAACATTATAATTATCAAATTCAGTCAAGGTGTAAGGAAGATAGCGACACAGTGGTAAAACACTTACTGTGTTAAGTGTAAATAAGGAAACGAATGAATTTGAAACTAAAATACGTCTGTTGATAAGGTTTAAGGGGAAGAATGTAGATCGTAAATATACATAATACAGATATTTGACTGCTTTGTTGAGGCATTTCCTTGCATTTCCCTTCAATTTATACGAATAAATGTGGGAAAGAAAACCAAAAGCACGTGTTCAGTGTCGTATATGAACAGTCAGTCTTGATTAAACAAAAGCAAACGTCGGTTTACAAATCAATACAGTACAGTACTTTCTGGAGATTTGAAGTGATGTGACTTGTCTGCCCTTGCACAAGATACATCGAGATGGCGCTGTAGTGAATTGTTCGGTGTGAAGTATTTTTGCTTCCCATGTAACACAGGACTGTAGCAGGAAAACATGAGCGCCATCACATCAACAATAAGTGATGTCAAGTCATAAATAATCCGTAAAAAATGACACTAACACCTATGCTAAGTTAAACAACTTTTAATTGCTGTGTGTCCATGTCGAATCGCGATGAATAAATCAGTGGGTAATGGATATTTTGTCATGGGTGCATAGGTTGGTGTTCACTCGATTTCAGAGAATCAGTTTGGTGCGGTGTTACCTGGCTGTCAGCCAGACATGTACCCGTAGACGCTATTGTGTAACCCAGTCACTATGCACAAACGAACGCTGACATATATATATGTACATTGCACAGACAGACTTTTCTGTGCAGCGTTGAATGGAAGTAAGTCGGCGGGACGTCAGCTCGAGAAAACAAGCGGACAGGAACTTGGGTTAGCCTGAGTCTCTCGGGTTGCTGGTTACATTTCATGAATCACGGAACTTGCTGATTGTTTCAAGATAAGAACTCAGCCAGATCCATTTGACCCCGAGATCGTTTTGTGTATTTGAGGACGAAGCGTAATGGCATATTTCTAATGTTTGATCGTGTGGCACTTGGTCAGTGAATGACAGGGTGAACTTTCGACAAAATCAGAATGGCGGCACCTCCTGAGTCCAGCTTCTTGGCGTTAATAGAGGCAGTTTTGAGCCTTGCTGCACCTCCCATGCCGAGGCCCAAACGGTCTACACATCCAATCAAGGCAGGAGGGTATCCCGAGGACATCTTTATAAATCTGACCGAGGAAGATAAAGAAGAATTCGAGTGTTCAATATGGTTTGTAGATACAGTGTTTTATGGTTGTCATTGCCATTGGTGTAACAATACAAATATCGTATGTGTCTTATTATTGATCTCACCATATGTGCTGCCAGGTCTCTGAAAACTGACCACTCGATTATGCCATAATGCACAATTCTCTTGTCAAAACTGTCTACTTTTTGCATTAATCAAAACAGACCAGTGAAATATTGGACTGAACGGAGAAAATATGAATTCAATGTTCACGCACGTTTCGTTTTATTCAAATATATTCATGAGATGGGATGTATGACTGCAAAGTGTTTGTGAATGTATTTGTGTCCACCTTAAATTGCACAATTAAAATGTTAATGGCTCTTATTAATGTACAAATATTATTTTACAATTATCTTTCATGAACATGACATGTACTATGAAAACTTCAAGTAATGTGTTGTGGCATTTTTAACAGTATTACTTGAGCTTGTAATGATAGTTGTTTTGGGTTGTTGTTTTTGTTTACGCTACACTCTGCAATATTCAGGCTACTTTAATGGCAGTCTTTAAGAAATCAGGTCATGACCAGACAATCCAGTGAATGACCTAAACATCGATCTGTGCATTTGGGCTACAATGACATACATTAACCAAGTGAGCCAATCTGACCACTTGATTCCTTTAAATTGCCTCTTTCATCAAGTATAGGTTGCTGTCAACTTGCTGAAGATCAATTCTAACCCTCATCTTCATGAGTGAGCTTGTAAAATAAAGAACTTAGATCATATTTGATACATGATACATCTATCCATGTGCATGAGCAGCATGTTTGTCCCAGTCAGTTTTGTATTTACACCTTTATGATATAATTTTTCAGTTACCAGATTCTAAAGGACACCATGCTGTGCAGCAACAAGCACAAGTACTGTCATTCTTGTATCTATGTGTGGTCAACAAGTGGGGTGCATCTCAACAGAACACGCTGCCCAGTTTGTCGAACGAATGGCTTCTATTCCCGTGACACAGAGTTGGACAACAAGATAAAAGCAAAAGAGGTAAAATGCAGTATGGCTGGATGCAGCTGGACTGGGAAACTGATGTACCTGCTGAGTCACAAACACACAAATTATGACAGTAATAGCAACCCGAGTCCTGTGGAGAATGTTGATACTGAGTTGCCACAGCTTAGGAGAAGGAATACACCACGGACCCAGTCCATCTCCAGGACAGGTCTTCAGTTCCCCACCAGGCATCTACACTTAAGGTCATCACTTCCATCAAACAGCCTGAATAGAGGTTTAAACAACATTAGGTCTCTGAGTGACAGTAACAACAATACATTGAGTAGGGACAGTTTTCTGAGCCGTGACACCTCAGATGGCATTGTCCATACACCGAGACCGCCTTCAACCCCGAGACCACCTCAGCAGGTTGTACGCAGAGTACCAACTCTTCCTTCTTTGCTGCAACAGGATTCCCCAAGGCCAAATGTACATAATTCAAACATTTCAACACCAAGTTATCCAGTACAGCCTTCCGAAGTGTCCACACGGACCTTGATTCAGCCCTCAGCCCGGACTCAAGTCAGTAACAGTCTCTCTCAGATTCGAGATCGCCTTCATGATAGTCGGTCAAGACTTGATTCCTTGATGACAACATTTGGCACTGAATTAGAACAACGACAGCAAGAAGTTTTTGATGTTAATGCTGAACGTGAACGGCATCGTCAGGAGCAGTTACAGGAAGTTCGTGAACTTGGCCGGAGACTGGGGCAGGTGGCGTCAGAGCTTAGACGCCTGCTGAATCAGCGGTCTGCCATCAGAGGAGAGATCAACGACCTTATGGAAAACTAATCTCAGTTTACTTGCTCAAATTCATTGCAAATCCTCTAAAGAGAGCTATGATAGAAAGAATATTGTTGTCATATATTGCAGTGTAGTCCGCAACAATGCATGACGGATTGTACAAGCCAGCTAAGCACAAACATGCTTTTGAGAAATGTCAAAGCCTGATAGTATTTGTTTTGTTTGATATTGGGCCATTAGCTTCAGTGGTAATCACCTGCTGTGTACTGGGTTGATTACATATCTTACCCTTATTAGTACGATTGCAAAAACTCAAATGACATGTAAACTTCTTTGTCTAATGACATGTGCAACCAAAATACATGTCCTATGCTTAATCCACCTATTATTGTTCGATGCTTAAGCCACCTTTTAGATCCACTGGAAAAAGAGTGCCTGTTGACCTGGCTGAATGAATTCTAATATGGCATTATCTCTCAGTCCATCATATACCGTTTTGTCATCAGCATCTCACAAACTTAAACATGAGCCATATGAAACAATGCACCAGCTTGTTTTGGCCCAAACTGCATGATTTATCATTGTGAAAATGGATGTAATAAACATGTTGTGTTTTTTGGCGTTGATATTTGTCACAAACTGCACCTTCAAATTTTGGGACAGCTGTGGGTTCTAGCACTATTATGTCAGAAAATGTAGGTCAGCTGTGTTCTAAGCAAATTACTTGTTTAGCAGTGTGTTTCAAATACTCCAGAGAAATTAAGTCCACTTCAGTCACGTGTCTGTGTCTACTTTAGATTTGCAATTCATCAATGTTTGTTTGTGGACTGGGATGTATTGAATACATTGCTTTCCTGGAGCGCCAACAATAAATTTCACCATCACAGTATTGAAGTGAATGTCCAGTATTGAAATGAATATCCAATAGTGATAGTATTTTTGGAAATGCGATTCGTTTTAATCATCTTAGACCAATGCAATTTAGATCTCCTAACGAGTTATCATGTATATTATTATATGTATATACTTTCGCTATTTATGTAATACAATATTTGAGGAATATTTTTCATCAGTCTAGCAATCTCAACTGTTAATGTATAAATTGAAAGTTTGTTTTATCTCCAGCACAATTTCCAGTATTTGGTATTTTTGGCTTCTGAACATCTTTGATTGTGTTAAGTGGTCACAGCAAAATATCCATTCATGAACTCTGTCATGATTTGATAGTATTTCTAGCAGAAATAGATTTCCCCCAAATCATGCTATAACTTACCCTAAGATGTTAAGTAACTTATCAGGCCTATTCCCATGAAACTGTGGTATAACTATCTCTTACAACTGACTTGGTGTACCCCTTGTAGTACTTGGCTTTATTCAGTAGTCAGATCTCATCAACAGCTAAGAAGATAAAAGAAGGTATGGTTTGCTCCGAGTCTGTAGACTGTATCTCAGTGGGAAATGTAACTGGCATTCGTCTGGATCAGCACATTTGTTCACTAAATCAAAGCATAAGTTAAAAACAATGTTAGTGAAATCGAATAGTAGATTGAATAAACCAAGGTGGAAGCAGTCAGTGCATGAAACAACTAGCAGTGTAGGAAAGATGTAGAAAATCTCGCCTGTCCACAGGACTGGCAGGTCAAATTTTTTACCAGTCCTGCCAAAATCTAACCTGTCCTCCAAATATAAATAAAACACCTTCGGCAGTAAATATTCAAAAAGGTTATAATCATTATATATATGTCATTGGTTTGCTAATATTGACCCGACATGAGGACGGACTAGATATTTTTTTATCCCGTCCTCCACAAAATTCACCCGTCTCGGACGTTGGGACGGGCTATCTTTCTTACACTGCAACTAGGACCTGTTTTAGCTCCAGCATAAGATTTCATTTGTCATTTTATGTTGTCATGGGTGTATTTGGGGCGGTGGTTAAAGAGTTTGCTTATCATGCCAGAGTCTCTGGGTTCGAGTCTCCACATGGGCACAATGTGTGAAGCCAATTTCTGGTGTCCCCTGCCGTGATATTGCTGGAATATTGCTAAAAGAGTTGTAAAACCATACTCACTCTCTCACTCACTGTCTGTTATTTGGTAATTCTGTTCTTCAAATTGAATTTCAAGCAAGCATTTGTGATTAGGTTTGCCCTTCAGTGTCAAAATGTACAAAGTGTGTATGCTGAGTTTACTTTTCCTTCAATATGTCTTGGTGGGGTCAGGTCTGGAACATAATCTATAATATTTTTCAAAATTGTTTAATGGATTGTCTTTAAAGAAGACTGGTTAGTTTCTTACCAACCAACTTACTTGATATGAAGTAGGTCACACAAACTCTAAATTGTTAGATTGGTTTATTGATTTCAATCTGATTGGTATAAGATAGCCAAAGTTTACATGACCAGGCTAAACTGTGAGCTTGGTTTCTGGAAATTAACTGTTAAATGTTCATATGTTGCCGAGTCAAACCAATGAGTATTTATATGGTCACTGGCCATCAGATCTGACAGAAGTTTCCCCGTGTTTTACATTATCCAGATATTAAATTGACTATCACACTTTTATTTTTCAAATTTTAGTATTTTAACCTCATGTGGTATTGTCATCATTTGAATGTGATTTTGTGCAGAACAACAGGTTCATGTTCACTGATCAGTGGACTTAGGAATGGAACCAGTGATGTTGTGCTGCATGACTTACTGAACAGTGGAACCAGTGCTGCATGGCTTACTGAACAGTGGAACCAATGCTGTATGACTTTACTTAGTGCTATTGGGAATTGAACCAGTGATGTGCTGCATGACTTACTGAACAGTGGAACCAATGCTGTATGACTTTACTTTGTGCTATTGGGAATTGAACCAGTGATGTGCTGCATGACTTACTGAACAGTGGAACCAATGCTGTATGACTTTACTTTGTGCTATTGGGAATTGAACCAGTGATGTGCTGCATGACTTACTGAACAGTGAACCCGGGAATGAAACCAGTGTCGTTGGACTGCATCACTTTACTGATCAGTGGACCCAGGAATGAAACCAGTGTCGTTGGATTGCTTCGCTTTACTGATCAGTGGACCCAGGAATGAAACCAGTGTCGTTGGATTGCTTCGCTTTACTGATCAGTGAACCCGGGAATGAAACCAGTGTCATTGGACTGCATCACTTTACTGATCAGTGGACCCAGTAATGAAACCAGTGTCATTGGATTGCTTCGCTTTACTGATCAGTGAACCCGGGAATGAAACCAGTGTCGTTGGACTGCATTACTTTACTGATCAGTGGACCCAGGAATGAAACGAGTGTCGTTGGACTGCATCACTTTACTGATCAGTGGACCCAGGAATGAAACCAGTGTCGTTGGATTGCTTCGCTTTACTGATCAGTGAACCCGGGAATGAAACGAGTGTCGTTGGACTGCATCACTTTACTGATCAGTGGACCCAGTAATGAAACCAGTGTCATTGGACTGCATCACTTTACTGATCAGTGGACCCAGTAATGAAACCAGGGTCGTTGGACTGCATCACTTTACTATCAGTGGACCCAGGAATGAAACCAGTGTCGTTGGATTGCTTCGCTTTACTGATCAGTGAACCCGGGAATGAAACCAGGGTCGTTGGAATGCTTCGCTTTACTGATCAGTGAACCCGGGAATGAAACCAGTGTCTTCGGACTGCATGACTTCACTGATCAGTGGACCCAGTAATGAAACCAGTGTCATTGGACTCCATTATTTTACTGATCAGTGGACCCAGGAATGAAACCAGTGTCATTGGACTGCATCACTTTACTGATCAGTGGACTCAGTAATGAAACCAGTGTCATTGGACTGTATTACTTTACTGATCAGTGGACCCAGTAATGAAACCAGTGTCATTGGACTGCATCACTTTACTGATCAGTGGACCCAGTAATGAAACCAGGGTCGTTGGACTGCATCACTTTACTATCAGTGGACCCAGGAATGAAACCAGTGTCGTTGGATTGCTTCGCTTTACTGATCAGTGAACCCGGGAATGAAACCAGGGTCGTTGGATTGCTTCGCTTTACTGATCAGTGAACCTGGGAATGAAACCAGTGTCTTCGGACTGCATGACTTCACTGATCAGTGGACCCAGTAATGAAACCAGTGTCATTGGACTCCATTATTTTACTGATCAGTGGACCCAGGAATGAAACCAGTGTCATTGGACTGCATCACTTTACTGATCAGTGGACTCAGTAATGAAACCAGTGTCATTGGACTGTATTACTTTACTGATCAGTGGACCCAGTAATGAAACCATTGTCATTGGACAGCTTCATTTTACTGATCAGTGGACCCAGGAGTGGAACCAGTGCTGTTGTTCTGCATGACTTTACTTATCAATGGACTTACATAAACAATCTGCCAATGTCAAATGCCAAAATCAAATAGTATATGGGCAATTTTCATTTTAGATCTTGATCATTTGTTTGATTATCTCATCTGTTGTACATAGATACTTTAAAATATCAGTTAGCTATTGTTTTGGATATTATGTGCATTGTGACTACGGGTAATTGTTAAAATAAATAAACATTCAAAACAAATGACTTCATATCACATCCTGATGCCGTAATATTACAGCGCTGATATTTAGAAGATGCTTATGCACAATTTAGAATCTGAGTATTACATGTTTGGTCTTGAGTGGTGGTGTTTTTCTTCTGTATTGTTTAGTAAAGTACATAATAAAAGTAGCTTGTTTTACACTTGCCATACATCAAATTGTATCCGTGGCATGTACAAAATATTATTGTGTCTGAGGACTGTTAAGATGTAATCAGCTTTGTACAAAATACATTTCCCTGAACCAGATAGAAATGAATGAACAAATTGATCCACCATAACATACCGGTACATACAATATTTCCTGTTTTCAGTGTAGTGTGTTTAATCTGAGTTTGTTGGTGTATACACATGACAAGGACATGTACCGCAGCCCTCACTTCACTGGCATAAAAAAGCCAATCTTCTTGGGGCATGCTGCTGTTCTATAGCTGGGGTGTGACAACCACAAGTAAGCAAACAGATATTGCTGGTACATCAATGGTATTTTCTCCAGACAATAACAGCCCATATCTGTGGTTTACAGCATCTCCCAAGATGGCAGAATGTTAGTTCAGTCCTCTGCAGAAAAGTTTTTCTTTTATATAACATCAGATGATAGAACACAAAACCAGGTAGGAAACTACCAAAAATAGTTATTGTTATACAAAACAAACCAACATAGGAATGTATGTTATTTTTATTTTACAGTTTGTCAGTTTTTGGTTGAATGTGTGTGTGTGTGTGTGTGCGTGCGCGTGTGGGTGAGTGTGTGTGTGTGTGTGTGTGCGTGCGCGCGTGCGTGCGCAACTACCCATCAGTATTGTGAAAGTGGATCTTAACTGATAGTGCATGTATCTCTGACTAGGCCCTGGGCATCAAACTGATAGATTGTTAGTCACTGTCAGGGTCATAAATTATGGTAATAAATAGTGCTGGAAATTTCATTCATGTTAGGAAGGGCTTACTAATTCCAAACAATTTATGTCACGTAATTTTCTGTTGAAAAGAAATCAGTGTTCAAGTTCACTTATCAATATGATTGTTGAATGATAGAAAATAGCTTGTGTACCATGTGTGTTGTTGCTTTCATGAAGATTTTGTACTTTCAGTTAGAGCGGAGATTTCAACGTAACACTCAAACTGTGATATTTTCTTTAGTTTTTGTCATATAAAATGATTAAAAAAAATATAACATTTATTAAATCAGTCTTGTGTTTGTCATGTTTTTGTCATGTGAAGCGACAGGCCAGGAATTTGTGTGTTGTGAGAAAAAGTCCTTCTGCCACTTATTATTGTACATGTATGTAAATATTGTAAGAGTGAAATATTAGTAATATAATAATAAATCTTCACACAAGTTAAAACTAGATTTGATATTTGGCTGCAGTGTTCCTTTTGACAAAAGTAGGTCTGTTGAAAACTCTTGTTGAAGTTGTAAAAACCTTTTGGTATACCCAACCTAATGTAGTGACATAAAGTGAATATAACAGAAAGTAAATGACCTTCATGATTGTTTCCATTTATCAGGTTTTGGCGTGTCATTAGTAGTTTGCATAGACTTTTTTAATAGTCCAGTTACATTTTCAGCTGTGTAATCATATGCCAAAAACATGTGATTGCTGAATATGAAGATGTTACTTGCGAAATGCAGTTGAAAGTAACTGTCTCATGTAATCCAGTTGAGAGCCACTGAGAAAGATATCTGGAGTAATCCAGTTTAGAGTCACTACTTTGGTGATGCAGTTGAGCGTGATTCTCACAGTAATACAGTTGCTTGTTTACTATTTAGGTAAAAACTGGAGTAATATTGTCATAGTAATACAGTTGCTTGTTTACTATTTAGGTAAAATGAGTAAATATTGTCATAGTAATACAGTTGCTTGTTTACTATTTAGGTAAAAACGAGTAAATATTGTCATAGTAATACAGTTGCTTGTTTACTATTTAGGTAAAAACTGCAGTAATATTGTCAGTAACTATTGTAAAGAAAAGCGAGTGAATACTTGAAGTAATACGGGTAAAGGCAACTACTTGGATAATATGATTGAGAGTAATGTTCAGAGTGTTTACAGTTGAAAGTAACTACTTCAGTAATGGGATGAATACTGGGATAATGCAATTGAGACTAATTAATGGAGTAATGGCAATTGTAGTACTACAGTTGAGAGTAACTATTTAACTAAAGACTTGAGTAATGCAGCTAAGAATAGGTACATGGACAATGCTTTTGAAAGTAAATACTGGAGGTATTCATTTGCGAGTGAATTTCTGAGCAATACATTGAGATATATATGTTAGGTAGCTACTTGAGTAATGTGATGCATTTGGTTATTAAAAATACAAGTAACCATCTGAGAGTAACAGTTTGAGTAAAGCTAGTAAAAGTAACTACTAGGGTAATGTGAACATCTACTGGTGTGGCTCAAGTTGAGAGTAATACAGTTGAGATTTACAATTAAATTGAGGACGAGCAATGAAGTTGAGAGTAACTTGTGGGTAATGCAGTTAAAGTAACTACCTTGGTATAGCTGTTGACAGTAACTACTGTAGCATTGCCGTTGACAGTAACTACTGTGGTATTGCTTTGAGAGTAACTGCTGTGGCATTGCCGTTGACAGTAACTACTGTGGTATTGCTTTGAGAGTAACTGCTGTGGCATTGCCGTTGACAGTAACTACTGCGGTATTGCTTTGAGAGTAACTGCTGTGGCATTGCCGTTGACAGTAACTACTGTGGTATTGCTTTGAGAGTAACTGCTGTGACATTGCCGTTGACAGTAACTACCGTGGTATTGCTTTGAGAGTAACTGCTGTGACATTGCTGTTGACAGTAACTACTGTGACATTGCCGTTGACAGTACCTACTGTGGCATTGCTTTGAGAGTAACTGCTGTGGCATTGCCGTTGACAGTAACTACTGTGGTATTGCTTTGAGAGTACACTGCTGCGGTATTGCTTTGAGAGTAACTGCTGTGGCATTGCCGTTGACAGTAACTACTGCGGTATTGCTTTGAGAGTAACTGCTGTGACCCAATTAATTAAGACAAGGATCATGCTCTCTACGATACAATATACTCGCCCTCTTTTCCTGTGTGAGATCCAACTGATAGTCAAACATAAGTCAATAAGTCAAATCTACATATGGATTGTTTTGAAAATGTTCTTAGCATTGTTTTGAAAGCAGGGTAGGAATATAATTCCATTTCCGATTTGATTTAAGCTACATTGTATTATGCAGATTTAAGGAAATACTCTATTTAAACTTTACTAATGTTGTAGATTGTTTGAGAATAACTACATATATATTGACCTAAGATCGGAGAATCGTCACTTACTCGTCATTATGGCAGGTTTACTGGAAGTAGAGTATGTGACATCAAGGTGAGGTACACGACAAGTTTTGCTTTAAGGTCATCTTCACAACAAAAATACTCAACAAAGGAACACCGTATTCACTGGTTGTGCGTCATGAAACAACACTCTGGAGGGGTACCATTACCGAATGAACAAGACCCTGCCTCACAACCACCCCAAGATCTTCGGGTTCATAGATGTAATCCTGGGGATCGAGAAATCCGAGTCAGCAAAGATGACACAGATGGATTTTGGAGCTGCTGTACGCCCGAGGAAACGGGTGTATTGTGACTCGACAGACTCGGGGGCCAACATCAAGCCGGCCAGAAAACTTCTCTGGAGTTCCTGGACGCTGCTGGATATCAGTATCCACCAAAGATCTAGGTAGTGAAACTGACTGATTGTATGGTCTACAATAAGAGAAAAGTCAAGATTTTCCCTGATGTAAAATCAGAAGTACTAAAGGAATGTTTTATATATTTGTACTTATTATATAAATAAATAAAATCTGCTTGTTAAAAGTTCTTTTTTTTGTAGTTTTATATGGGTCATTCCATTACCTACAGAGGTACTAAGGGTTCATATGTAAGAGCTACCAACCAGTAAAGTACAGATTCTGGTACTATGTTGGACTGAGTCCCATGCGGGATTCGAACACACGCTGTGAGAGTCGGGCAACATAATCGTCAGGGGTTTACTTAGAAAGTGTACCAAATATAACGCGTTATATTATATAAACAGTTACACGTGGAGCAATACAACTTGTAGATATTGTTTGAGTCTGGGTCAAGTTACACCTGGAGACGTAACAGCAGATATGTTTCTTCCAGGCAGTGTTGATTTGTATTTGGAAACATGCGCGCAGATTACCCTAGGTAATTACTATTAGGTAACAGCTATCCTATTATATTACTCCTGGGCACAAGGTGGGTCTCCCAGGGGGCATATACACTGACCCAAACAAGCGGAACATGAGCGATGTATGTTGGCGCATGGTGTTATGTGCTCACTAGCCCGGGGCCGTGTCCTCTGTTCAGTGTAGTTGGAGGTGCATATTTGTGATATGCACGATGTTTAAAGTACATATGTAGAGATCTTTAAGTGGCAATTCAGCAGATGTGGCATCGATGAAAACAGGGCCGAAGTGTAGTTCAATGAAAAGTAGAATCCATTTGTGTCTGTCTTTATTACGTGTAACGTTTACTTGCATCCATTATCGATTCGTGTCAACAGTAAAGAAGATACTTCTGACAAGACACTTCTTCTGAAAATAGTATAATATGAGCACGGTTATTAAATACATTAAGCTTGACGTGTTGAACATTTGCAGAAAGGCAGATCCGTAGTAAAGGAACCATATATATGTATAGTAAGGGTTCAGTTAACAAACACGGATTTGTCACACAAAGACATGAAGCTTTATTGCAAGCATATATTTATAACTGTTACAGAACAGCTCCACTGTTCGGTACAATGACAATATAAGAGTTATCGCCCTTCTGTCCTGTCTGGTTGGTTACCTGTCCACCAGATGGTGCTGTAACTGCGTTCTAGCAGTGACGGGCGCGACCACAACCGGATGATTAGAAAGCTTACTTTGTTTGTCCTGTTTGTTTTGTGACGTTCATCAGTTCTGAAGGATTACGATTACCTGGTTGAGGTAAGTGTGTCCTCGCTCATTACACAGTAGTGTTGATTACCTTGTTTGTTTGTCTTATCTTAATTGTTTCACGTCCAGTTTCTTACCTGAAGGAAATCGAGGTCAACTTATAACTTGCTGTGTGTAACTGGTTCCGGGGAGAGGGGGAGGGGGTATACTTACTTGAAAACTCCTTTCAGTTGAATTTATTTATCGCCTAAAGTATGATCACCTGTTTCTTAGAATATTTTACGAAAGTCTACACATTATGTATAAACAATGGGTATTTTGTTACGCGTTTCGTTTGTTATGTGACCGTCGTAATATGTGTGTGGTTATTTATATGTCTCGCTTGGGATTACAGCCTGACAAACAGTAGCACCGCGACAAGCACCTGCAGGTGAGATACCCAGGTGTGAACAGCGTCCAGGGGAAGTAGAGTCGGAGCAGAATAGGCACAGCCACTTGTGACTAGCTGCGCTCACTCATGTGAAACCGACCAGCCAGGGGTCACATTCTTGCCGAGGTCACGTCTACCTGTGAACAGTGATGGCTGACAAGCAGAAACTGTGGCTGTGGATTTTACCTGCTGTCCTGCTGATAGCAACCAGGGGGCAGTCTGTTTCCTGGACGCAGTCAGGTAAGGCTTTACGACGGATGTGCTTATCTCACTTGATACAGAGTTGTAACACAGTTCGCCATGTATCCTGTAACCAAAACCTAACACCACATATCATGAAGCAGTTGACCATACCCAGGAAATCTGTGGATCACCAGGAGAAACAAAGACAAAGTAACTCCGCGACTATGTCAGTTGTTTTTGATGTAGGGTTAAGAGTGCTGACAGTAAGAGTTAAACAAACTTTATATATGCAAATCATTGCCGAATATACTGTGAGATATGGTAATCATGGTTTTATGGAAATGTATATTCTAAAAATGACCTATGCAGTGTGAACATGCTCATGGAAACGACCACAGAATGTGTTCATCAACCCTACTATTGGACTTATTTATACAACAGACATTTAGTTTTGTATTTGTTTCAGTGTGCACTTTCCATAGTTTTCATACATGTTGTATTTACTTTTAGTTTAATGTTTGACCCCAGAATATGCCTGTGACCCTGGTCAGTGGTAAGGGCCAGAACAGGTATATGAATGGTATGGTGCTGCTGCTGCTGCTGTCACAGTAGTGAGACTTGCAGCATGGGAACACATACTCTAGTCACACCTACACAACCAGAAGTGATGCTGGGTATTTATCAGCTTCGTCCAGATGGACAGACAGATATTCATCTCATCATCAAAACAAAGAAGAACATGCATGGACTGGAACCAACAAAGCTTATACATAAAAATAACAACACAGCACCACTCACACCAAGTTGTGAGAGACCATACAAAAATACATGATATGTGCAAATACGAATGATTAACTGTACAAGAAATGCTTTCTGCATTGTCAAATTTAAAAGCAGGTCTTTGGCAATTACGTTACATCATGTTTAAACAAGAGTTGCTAATGTCATTTATGGTATTTAAATGTATACATACCATAGGTATGATTATACCATGTGTTGTCCAAATAACATTCCACCAGTCATCAGCATAGGGCAGTAACAGACAAGCCTTCAACTGTACAACTGAGGATTATCTTCGTTGGTGTTTTATTGGATCATGGGCTCACAGTAATACAGATACTTCATTGTCAAGCTGAAAGCGGTATACTGAAACCTCGGAAACATTACTTCACTTACCCTATCAACGACCTAGGTTGGTACAAATGGCAACGTTAATGTGGAACAGTTTATGACTAAATTGCCATAAATATAACCCCATGGACAGGTTGTATTTCTGTTGTCTATGACTAAGTCGGTCAACAGAGATAACAAACAAATGTTCACATGGCGAACAGATGACGAATGATCCCTCCAAGAGGGGTAAAAGCTGTAGGTTGAGTAGGTTCGAAGCCGGAATATCTTCCTATCAGTATCAGTATGCTCAAAGGGAGCCAGTGTCTGCCCTCACTACCTTTGCCCTACCCATGGATATTTCACAAGAAATGCGCTGCACTAGCCTTCAAACAGACACGGATTTCGGCCAACTGTTTCACCATGTGTTAACTATTGTAGCCTAGCTGCCTCTATTCACGTTAAAAGGAAACATTGAACATGGCGCAGTCAACCTGTCCTCCTTAAATCGCATTTTTTCACCGAAAGGCATAACATGTACGCATAAATGATTGTTAGAAAGACTTGGATACAACCCTCGAAAACCGGTTTTATGTGCAGGCTTACGGTACACACTACCAGTCATCCAAGGGATTAAATAGCGTAGTCACAATGAGTAAACCCCATGCGTGTTGTTGGTTGACTGTTGCTCCATTATCGCAATGTCTTTGCTTTACAAGAGCTAAACAGATTGTCAAGGTCGGTATTCAGGCCTCTTAGAGAGCCTGAACACGGGGAGGGCGCACCCCCGGGTAGGGGCAGTTACTGCTAATTACCACACCTCGGTGTTCATTAGAGGACATTCAGAAGGACCGAGGCTGTTACCGCCTGGGGTAGATAAGACTGGCTTTAATCTCCTTTAATGATTTATACCATGTCATGACCCAGAGTTTACCTTTGACTCTATTCTTGTTCCACATTCCTGTACAAGTGTCTAATTGATGGCAGTGTCTACATGCGACGTGTGAATATAATATGATATAGCTACTTCCTGCTTATCCGACCCCACGTAGCGATGAGACACGGAGTTCTCACATAACAACATTGTTGGTCCCCAGCTTAAAATGGGGGGTTCTATTTTCACAATATTATGGCCTGTTTTAAATGATATACACATATCTTGTTTATAGTTTGATAGCATGCGATGTTAATAGTATCGTCATATAGCAACGCCTGACTCACTGTATTGTCAAATATCCGCGTCTGGAAATTCTCACTAACCACCTTCAGAGGTTACCATGAACCAGTATGGCAATTTACTAATCGCTGTCGGAATGTGTTACAGCACTAAAAGAAGGAAATGTTCTTTAGCGAAGTGAAGAAATGGAGACTGTCAACAATGCAGGAGACTTGTATCTATGAAGGTCAATGATGATGAAGTCTGTCATTGAATCCATCAACCTTGTGCAACAGAGCTACAAAAATACTTTTAGATGACACCAAGACAGCCGGATGTGATTACAGAATGGACGGGAGCCCAATGATACGGCTCACCTGCACTCGACTATACCAAATATAGCAATCCTCTATATCCCGATATTCAGTAGCCCGTGTCTGCCGTGTGCAGATTTCGTGGCACCAGTGAGACAATTATACTGATTTTATTGATAGCTTTTAGCCTTGTGCATCCTTGAGTATCGGACGCTTGGAGCTTTGCTCATGCTGTCATTCACTGGTCGGCTAGAATAAGCCAGGTCATTGGTAAGCTGAAACGACTCCCTTCGCCAGCCACATGGTATCGGAGACCCCCAAACTGCTATATTTGATTCAGTACACGTACGTGTACACCAGCCAGTAGAGGAGGAGATGTGTCATTAGGGATATTTGAGTACTGTGAACAGGCTTAGTAACCACGGAAATACTGGACACGGTAAACACGCAATGCCCTTATATACACTGCATCGTCTTTACATTTCATAATGACATAACGAGGATACAGCTGGTTTCGTAAATTACTATAATATAACCTTCATTGAAACTCGTCAACAGAAAGAAATTTCCACAAAGAAATGTGAGATATTTTCTGTGGGTTGGGATTAGTCTGACCTCGGCCTGTGGTTGAACCCTGAATACCCGATGAAGCAGCCACTAAAGGCGGACCTACCAACCACAAACCACGGAACACAGGTTCTGGGAATGTTTGTGGCTTATAGACGACCCACCATGAATAACAGTTATTCGGCTGCATCTGACAGGTTATTTAATTCCTGTGTCGATGTCATTCACGTGAGATATTGCAAATAGTTCCTTACGTACCCCCACCTATTTTTGTGATGAGCAAACACTATAGTTTAGTCTTTAGTTTATAGTTAAAAATTAGGGGTACGTAAGGAACTCTAACCGTTTGACACTACTTTGGCCAAAAAATATGGGAAGTGCTGAAATGATCACAGCGCAGGTGTAATGAGGGATACATATCTGTGATTGAATTTAGGGTATGTACATCAGTATCTGGTGTGTCCACCATGGTGTTCCTACATGCACGGCACCTTGATGGCATACTATGTGGTTGCCCTCTGTATTTATTGCCCGTCATTCGACCTGAAGACCTACCTCAAGCCGGGTCACGTTGGCGTCTAGCGGGTCTCTGGTGCACCACTGCCTGCCCAAGAACGTGTAACCGACGCTCTTTAGTGGACATATTACGGGGCTAGGTTGTTTGCTTGCTTGGCTGGTTGGTTGGCTGGTTGTTGTTTAACGCCGCACTCAGCAGTATTCAAGCTATATTGCGGCGGTCTGTAAATAATCGAGTGTGGACCCGACAATTCAGTGATCAACAGCATGAGCATCGATCTACGCAAATGGGATACGATGACATGTCAACCAAGTCTGAGAGCCTGACCACCCGATCCCGTTCGTCTCCTCTTATGACAAGCATGGGTTACTGAAGAATTCAAATCCGTATCTTCACGGGGTTAAGCGGGACAGTCCAGTGACCGTATGCCTTCTCGTCGGCAATAATCACTGACGACCTGGTCACGGTCCCTTTGTCTCCACGGTGCCGTGTACCCCGAGCTGGTTATACTGGTCCCTTTGTCTCCACTGTGTCATGTACCCCGAGCTGGTTATACTTGTCCCTTTGTCTCCACTGTGTCATGTACCCCGAGCTGGTTATACTGGTCCCTTTGTCTCCACTGTGTCATGTACCGCGAGCTGGTTATACTGGTCTCATTGTCTCCAATGTGTCATGTACCCCGAGCTGGTTATACTGGTCCCTTTGTCTCCACTGTGTCATGTACCCCGAGCTGGTAATACTGGTCCCTTTGTCTCCACTGTGTCATGTACCCCGAGCTGGTTATACTGGTCTCATTGTCTCCACTGTGTCATGTACCGCGAGCTGGCCATACTGGTCCCTTTGTCTCCACTGTGTCGTGTACCTCGACCTGGCCATACTGGTCCCTTTGTCTCCACTGTGTCATGTACCCCGAGCTGGCTATACTGGTCCCTTTGTCTCCACTGTGTCGTGTACCCCGAGCTGGCTATACTGGCCCCTTTGTCTCCACTGTGTCATGTACCGCGAGCTGGTTATACTGGTCTCATTGTCTCCACTCTGTCGTGTACCCCGAGCTGGTTATACTGGTCCCTTTGTCTCCACTGTGTCGTGCACCCCGAGCTGGCCATACTGGTCCCTTTGTCTCCACTGTGTCGTGTACCCCGAGCTGGCCACACTGGTCCCTATGTTTCCACTGTGTCGTGTACCCCGAGCTGGCCATACTGGTCCCTTGTGTTCCACTGTGTCTCCACTGTGTCGTGTACCCCGAGCTGGCCATACTGGTCCCATTGTCTCCACTGTGTCGTGTACCCATTGTTTCCACCTGTCATGTACCCCGAGCCATACTGGTCCCTTTGTCTCCACTGTGTCATGTACCGTGGGCTGGTTATACTGGTCCCTTTGTCTCCACTGTCTCGTGTACCCCGAGCTGGCCATACTGGTCCCTTTGTCTCCACTGTGCCGTGTACCCCGAGCTGGCCATACTGGTCCCTTTGTCTCCACTGTGTCGTGGACCTCGACCTGGCCACACTGGCCGCTTTGTCTCCACTGTGTCATGTACCCCGAGCTGGCTCTACTGGTCGCTTTGTCTCCACTGTGTCGTGTACCTCGACCTGGCCATACTGGTCTCATTGTCTCCACTGTGTCATGTACCGCGAGCTGGTTATACTGGTCCCTTTGTCTCCACTGTGTCATGTACCCCGAGCTGGCCATACTGGTCCCTTTGTCTCCACTGTGTCGTGTACCCCGACCTGGCCATACTGGTCCCATTGTCTCCACTGTGTCATGTACCCCGAGCTGGTTATACTGGTCCCTTTGTCTCCACTGTGTCATGTACCCCGAGCTGGTTATACTGGTCCCTTTGTCTCCACTGTGTCATGTACCCCGAGCTGGTTATACTGGTCCCTTTGTCTCCACTGTGTCATGTACCCCGAGCTGGTCCCATTGTCTCCACTGTGTCATGTACCGCGAGCTGGTTATACTGGTCCCATTGTCTCCACTGTGTCATGTACCACGAGCTGGTTATACTGGTCCTGGTCCCACTTTGTCTCCACTGTGTCCCTTTGTCTCCACTGTGTCGTCCTCGACCTGGCCATACTGGTCCCTTTGTCTCCACTGTGTCATGTACCGCGAGCTGGCCATACTGGTCCCTTTGTCTCCACTGTGTCGTGTACCTCGACCTGGCCATACTGGTCCCTTTGTCTCCACTGTGTCATGTACCCCGAGCTGGCTATACTGGTCCCTTTGTCTCCACTGTGTCATGTACCCCGAGCTGGCTATACTGGTCCCTTTGTCTCCACTGTGTCATGTACCCGGAGCTGGCTATACTGGTCCCTTTGTCTCCACTGTGTCATGTACCGCGAGCTGGTTATACTGGTCTCAGTGTCTCCACTGTGTCGTGTACCCCGAGCTGGTTATACTGGTCCCTTTGTCTCCACTGTGTCGTGCACCCCGAGCTGGCCATACTGGTCCCTTTGTCTCCACTGTGTCGTGTACCCCGAGCTGGTTATACTGGTCCCTTTGTCTCCACTGTGTCATGAACCCCGAGCTGGCTATACTGGTCCCTTTGTCTCCACTCTGTCATGTACCCCGAGCTGGCCACACTGGTCCCTTTGTCTCCACTGTGTCGTGCACCCCGAGCTGGCCATACTGGTCCCTTTGTCTCCACTGTGTCGTGTACCCCGAGCTGGCCACACTGGTCCCTTTGTTTCCACTGTGTCGTGTACCCCGAGCTGGCTATACTGGTCCCTTTGTCTCCACTGTGTCGTGTACCCCGACCTGGCCACACTGGTCCCTTTGTCTCCACTGTGTCATGTACCCCGAGCTGGCCATACTGGTCCCTTTGTCTCCACTGTGTCATGTACCCCGGAGCTGGCCATACTGGTCCCATTGTCTCCACTGTGTCGTGTACCCCGAGCTGGCCATACTGGTCCCTTTGTCTCCACTGTGTCATGTACCGCGGGCTGGCCATACTGGTCCCTTTGTCTCCACTGTGTCGTGTACCCCGAGCTGGCCATACTGGTCCCTTTGTCTCCACTGTGTCATGTACCCCGAGCTGGCCATACTGGTCCCTTTGTCTCCACTGTGTCGTGTACCTCGACCTGGCCATACTGGTCTCTTTGTCTCCACTGTGTCATGTACCTCGAGCTGGCTCTACTGGTCGCTTTGTCTCCACTGTGTCGTGTACCTCGACCTGGCCATACTGGTCTCATTGTCTCCACTGTGTCATGTACCCCGAGCTGGCCATACTGGTCCCTTTGTCTCCACTGTGTCATGTACCCCGAGCTGGCCATACTGGTCCCTTTGTCTCCACTGTGTCGAGTACCCTGAGCTGGCCATACTGGTCTCATTGTCTCCACTGTGTCATGTACCGCGAGCTGGCCATACTGGTCTCATTGTCTCCACTGTGTCATGTACCCCTGAGCTGGCCATACTGGTCCTTTGTCTCCACTGTGTCATGTACCCCGAGCTGGCCATACTGGTCTCATTGTCTCCACTGTGTCATGTACCCCGAGCTGGCCATACTGGTCTCATTGTCTCCACTGTGTCGATGTACCCTGAGCTGGCCATACTGGTCTCATTGTCTCCACTGTGTCATGTACCGCGAGCTAGCCATACTGGTCTCATTGTCTCCACTGTGCCGAGTACCCGGAGCTGGCCATACTGGTCTCTTTGTCTCCACTGTGTCATGTACCCCGAGCTGGCCATACTGGTCCCATTGTCTCCACTGTGTCATGTACCCCGAGCTAGCCATACTGGTCCCATTGTCTCCACTGTGTCATGTACCCCGAGCTGGCCATACTGGTCCCATTGTCTCCACTGTGTCGTGTACCCCGAGCTGGCTATATTGGTCCCTTTGTCTCCACTGTGTCATGTACCCCGAGCTGGCTATACTGGTCCCATTGTCTCCACTGTGTCGTGTACCCCGAGCTGGCCATACTGGTCTTGTCTCCACTGGTCTCTTTGCCTCCACTGTGTCATGTACCGCGAGCTGGCCATACTGGTCCCTTTGTCTCCACTGTGTCGTGTACCCCGAGCTGGCCATACTGGTCCCATTGTCTCCACTGTGTCGAGTACCCTGAGCTGGCCACTGTGTCTCCACTGTACCCGCGAGCTGGCCATACTGGTCTCATTGTCTCCACTGTGTCGTGTACCGAGCTGGCCATACTGGTCTCATTGTCCCTGTGTCATGTACCGCGAGCTAGCCACACTGGTCTGTCCCCACTGCCATACTGGTCTCATTGTCTCCACTGTGTCATGTACCCCGAGCTGGCCATACTGGTCCCATTGTCTCCACTGTGTCATGTACCCCGAGCTGGCCATACTGGTCCCTTTGTCTCCACTGTGTCGTGTACCCCGAGCTGGCTATATTGGTCCCTTTGTCTCCACTGTGTCTGTACCCCGAGCTGGCCATCCCATTGTACCCCGAGCTGGCCATACTGGTCCCATTGTCTCCACTGTGTCGAGTGTACCCTGAGCTGGCCATACTGGTCTCTTTGCCTCCACTGTGTCATGTACCCCGAACTGGCCATACTGGTCCCTTTGTTTCCACTGTGTCATGTACCCCGAGCTGGCCATACTGGTCTCTTTGCCTCCACTGTGTCATGTACCCCGAGCTGGCTATACTGGTCCTTTTGTCTCCACTGTGTCATGTACCCCGAGCTGGCCATACTGGTCTCTTTGCCTCCACTGTGTCATGTACCCCGAACTGGCCATACTGGTCCCTTTGTTTTCACTGTGTCATGTACCCCGAGCTGGCCATACTGGTCCCTTTGTCTCCACTGTGTCGTGTACCCCGAGCTGGCTATTCTGGCCCCTTCGCCTCCACTGCACAAACCAACACGGCGTGTAGACCTATATAGCTGATAACACGGGGAAGTAGGACACGTGAGTCATTCTCACCTGACCCATGCCGTGTTATCTCGCAAGAACGTATATGAAAACACTTTAAATTCACTTCATGTTTCCGTTCTTTGGGCCCCTTCTCCCGTGTTTCTCCTCTGTCCTTAAGTTCAAATATCTCTTCGTCTGTAACTTAAATTACAATTTATTACCAGAAGCGTTGTCTATTACACTGGGACAGACGCGAAGATACAAAGACTGCCTGCCTTGACTTAGGTGCTCCATGCACAAAGCGGGCGAAGCACTACTCTCATAATAAGCCTTAGTTTGGCATTCGTATGGAATTTCCGAGTGTCGCTCACCCTGTGTTTGCGGTCCTTTGTGACTCAGATCAATGACAATAACAATTTTGTCGTTGCCAACCATGTGTTAATTGTGAATGGTGAACACGCCCATTATATAGCCATGACGAGGGGGAGGTAGAGATGATGAGTTCCACCAGTCTCAGTTAGCTGGCCCACCACATCCACGGAAAGGTGAACGAAAATTGGAATTGTTGAAGGAGGTTACATCAATGCAGGAGACACATGCCCACCTGATGTCCATGCAGGACACATAGGCACAGATGACACCAGTGAAGGAATCAAGGACTCAGGTCAAGCCAATGCGGGACACATGGGCTCAGGTCAAGCCAATGCAGGACACATAGGCACAGCTGATATCAATGCAACAATCACAATCAGAGAACAGAAGCGTATTACTGCACAGTAAACACCAACACTATCGAGGTAAACAAAATACATTCATATACGCAGAACCTGAAAAAAAGACGACCTGACGACACCGACCGAATCTCTTTCACGGTAGTTAGTGATTTTGTTATGGCACACAATTCTTGGAGTAGGTTGCACAGCAGGCTGTCTGCAGAACGGGCCAGTTCTGACAACGGAAGCCTCCTTGTTACCCCAGTGTCATGTTTTGGTTGCAGCTGACATGGAGAGCACAGATTGTGACAAGATAGGCCCATACATCCTGGACGACACTGACATCATGCAGGTGTATGCAACCCCCCCACAGGTGCCCGGGGGGACAGCAACGCGAGACAAATGCGTTATTGAGGTCCGAACAGACCCCAATCGCCGTCTTCGCATCTACGTAACGGACATCACCATCTTTGACTGCGGAACGTTCTTGCAAATCTTCGACAGCGGAACCCACATGACCAAACCCACTGTAAGTAGAGGAGGAGGAAATGTGAGGATTTAAATACAACTGCGCATGAAACAACGGAACGTCCAACGCTTTTAATATTATCTAGTGAAAAAAGAACGATCGCGTGTTTTCACAAAATATTTTTCTTTGCATACTCAACAACAAATCCAGCCTTTTGCAGGTGGGTAAAAGGTGCTTTCAAGTATCAGGGTATTACTGTCAAAAGCCGATCATCACATTTCCCAGTTATTTGTTGCATCAATATGATCACGTGACTAAGTAGCTGTTACCGTCCTCACGTCTCCACCCACCTCTACTTGTATATTTGTTTATATATTTAAATATTTGTTGCTATTTTGTGTTTCGGGTCAAGGTCATCGCCATTGTCTTGTGTGACGTCACTGAGTGGCGCAAAGCTCCGTGCACCATCTGCTTGGATAAATTGCAGTTTCTATTAACGTAGACTATTTAACAGAAAAAGGCTGCCAGGACGCTGTCAATGAAATGCTTTGCTGATTAACATGCTCCGTCGGTGCATGCGCAGTTGTTGGTGAAATGTGTACAGTTTTCATTCGATGCTTTTGCCTTTATTCCAGATGCCAGTGAGTCATGGAATAATACTCTAGAAATCACTTGTGGATATGTTTCCGTTTTATTGATAGCTTTTCATTTTCAACTAACATCTTTCCCTAATCTATATTTATACCTCAAGATATATATTTGAGAAAATGTCTATATTTTCCAATTATATTCTCGTCCTTTTAATCACTTCTTGTGTAGTCACCCATTTACAGAGCACACTGAACTTGTCTTGTTCAAACTGCCACAACAGGATGCATTCGTTGCCTCGCGGTATTGGATGTTCATTGTGACTACTAACTATATAGCACTGTTTTATTATATAATGAAAGTATATATTACATGTGTATTCCAATCTCCACGTGCACCTCACAATCCTATCGTTCTATTTCAGCGGACTCTTAAGTGTAAGTCAGCCCCTGACAAATTCGACTCCCGTGGAAATGTATTGAGGATACGACTTGTGAAACAGTCTCCATCATCTATCTACTTCCGCTACACCATCTTTTTGACAACTGACCAAGGTATTTCGTATTGAAATAAAACCCATTGTTTGTTAGCTATATAGTCTTTACCATATGGGAATGGAAATATCCCGTGTAGTTTCGGATGAGCATGAGCGCTTAGAATATTCGTTCACTCCTGACTCCATATCCTGACCTGTCAACCTGATATTCTGAGGAAATTCCACAGTGATGCTGAGGTTTATATTTTTGGTGAAACCCACACCCAAAAAAAACAACAAAATCGTGTAAACGTTGGCGTTCTAACGCTATTCATGTCTCAAGGAACAACCATGAAAAGCAAGATAACACGAATGGGCGGCCACGCCCCTTTCAGGTGAAGAGATATAGTAGGTGTCCCATATGTTCCCAGCAGATAACACATCCTGCCTGAACATCACTTAAACGTGGAGACAAGTATTGGATATTTCACTAAAGCGTACAAAGTGTTTCAAGTTTTGACGAATACGAAATACTTCCATTAGTTCAGGGTTTAACGTGCATTTTTTAATGTGACATGAAGAGTGTTTTCAACTGTGTTTAACATTCACGGGAAAGAGAGGGCTTTCTTTGAAGTGTTGGTATTTCTGTGAGCTTAAAATACAAATCCCCACCAGACACATCACGTCGTACTAAGCCTGTGCTGTCCGTCTGTGTAGTGTAGACAGACTTAGGCCACCTTGCAGTCATTTGCTGTGGAGAAGGCTGAAGCGGAACACCTGTACACCAGTAATGGACTATGAATATGACCCATGTATGTGTTTCATATGCGGAGATGGTGTTTCTCATGAATGATGACTTTCTGTTCCTTACTGCTCTTAAACCCTCCACTTTCTGATAGATTAAACCTGACACGACCCTCTGGAAATTCGTATAGACTGATGCAATTAAGTTGTCAAAACGTTCACAGCAAAAGGGCACCCGACGAAACCTAGAAATCTTTCAAACATTCAACTTTCTTTGTGTTATTTGTTTTATTAAGACCCAGAGTGTTGAAATATTGTTGTTGTGTCAGTCGATTTCAATGTTGTCTGACTATGTTTATTCTGTCCTAGGTCCTGACGTTGAATTCGAACGCACCATGTCGGACTTCAACAGTTCGCCGCTGTCAATTGGCGCCATTGTCGGTCTGAGTATTGCCGGCGGCCTGCTGCTGCTTGCAGTCATTGCCATCGCCATATACTGTGTTGTGAAGCAACGCAAGAAGAACCTGGAGGCCGAAGCCCAGAAGTACCCCCCAGAGAACAATGTCTACTCCACAGGTAAATATGCTGTTTCCTACTCGAGCACCAATACAACCTTTGGAAAACAGTGGATGAACTTTACATGAATACTTTATTTCCAGAAATGATTTGTGTCTGGTAACTGTTGAAGTTCTGGTTAAAACATAAATGATTTAGCCGCATGTACAGATTTAGCCGTATGTACAGTTATTTATTGTACAGTTATTTATTGCACAATTCCTTGTTTTGTATGCTTCAAAACAGAAACAGGTGTTCAATGGTCCGTGTAGTATGCTGTTATGGGTAGCATTAAATATTGTCCAGAATATAGAAGCATATTTCAGTATATAGAAGCATATTTTATTTGGACATTTAATGACCTGATGATGGTGGTTTGGTTTGACAAGGCGACCCCAGCGTGAGTGTGTGGAGCATGGTCATATATTCAGGGGATTAAAGCGAAGTCCAGATTCACACTGTGTATGTTTCGTGGGTTTCCTTGCTAAATCGTATCAACGTGTGTAGGATAATAGTACCACCTTATTTGTTCATAAATGTAGCACAATTTTGTAACTGAAGAAATATTATATATTGAAGCATGTTTGAGGTTTGGCCTTTCAAATGACAGAAATCTCAGAGAGTTGAGTTTGGGATATCTAGCACCACAATCAAGGTTTATTGATACCATTAAGATTAGATATTACTCTGAATGAAGAAGAAATCTATTCCTTGTGTACTCTGGCTGTGGCTGATGACTTTGAGAAAACCAGTAACTTCTTTACCAAATGTTCTGATACGAGATATAAATGTTCGTTACAATAACGTTATCTTATCATATCACATCGACAGGACCATTCAAACTTACCAAACATTTACAGCATAAAACATTCAGCGCACTAAACCGAGTACCGACATAATGCAAATTACAACGCAGTATGACAGTACTGAATACAGTGTAAGAATGTCGGGATTCTGTCACTTCCGTCTTTGACTGTTTCCTTCAACCCTCCCACACTTTCCACCGGACTGTAACCCCCAACGACTATTGCATGTGCTTCAACAACATTCCTAACATTCCTGCAACCCGATCTGTCGACTCGCTCTCTCGTTTGCGACTCAAGCAATACAATTTACAGTGAGGTTCATATCACATGCTTCACCCAGCGCTTTGCATCCAATGAACTTTTATCTCTCCAAATAAACCCGTGAAGATCAGAGATAGAATTTGTCTTCAGCAACCCATGCTTGCCGTAAAAGGTGACTAATGGGATCGGGTGGTCAGGCTCGCTGCCTTGGTAGACACGGGTCATCGTATCCCAATTGCGTAGATCGATGCTCATGCTGTTGACCCCTGGATTGTCTGGTCAAGACTCGATTATTTATAGACCGCCGCCATATAGCTTGAACATTGATGTAGCCTTAAATAACAAACCAACCAACTAACAAACAAACCTCTCCAGATACGCCTTTTTAATTAATTTCAATTTCTCTCACTGATGCTTTATCAGTACAATATTAGATTGTGAATTAGTATATTTCCTCGTACATATAAGTCTTAATAATGTACACATGATCGGATGACTTACGGGCCGTGCCGGGGACAGTAAGGAAGAAATGCGCCCACCCAACATTTCCGGTAAGTTATGATCTGTTTGGTGTCGAAAGAACCACGTTTAATAAATGTGTTCTTTTCATGTTCAGAATTGTTTGGTTAACTAAAAAAAACTGAACTAAACGTCCATTGTCAGCAAAATTGTATATGATTTAGTGTCAACACAGATTTTGACGATACACGTGGCAACACGCTTAAGTACTTCACGTGTGAATGCTGGTGTGTATTATACTATACTTCTCCTATAGCCCTTCAAGCCCGGCTGGTGCCCGTAACTGTCACCGTGACATGAAACCCCACAACGACATACAGCCTGCTAACCTGAAGCTTTTTGTGAACAGTGATAGACTACAAATATCGGAGAACAGACTGTGTTCGCTTGACAATAATGCAATTCTACCTTTTGCCTGCCTAGCGCTTTGTTGTCTGAGATTTGACGGTATTAACTTAGTTTCCACTGATTCCTATTCACTGTTTAACAGAGCAGGAAGTATTATCACTGTACTTGAAGTATTAACTTTGTCGTTGATACTTTGTTCTCATTGTCTTTTAGTTCCTTCTGATGACCGCCGACTTCGACGAGAGAGATACGAGATGTCACGCCCGAAACGAGATTACGTGTGACCACGTGTAGTCCACCATTGGACATGACGTCACCATCATTTGATCGGCTTTCATTCCTCATAACGTCAATCTTCAATAAATGAACCGATAGCATCACAATTTCGATCATGATTTACAGAAGCATATTTCGTGTGTTCAGCGATCAATAAAGATCAATTTTGATATTCGTTGTGTTTGAGGTTTTATGTATCTAATGGGCAAGGGTAACGTTTTGGGGAAAGTACACTGACTTCACCCGCTAAGTGAGAGAGCTAATGTCGGAAAGTTGTGGGGTGAAGTCAGGGTAGTGAAAGGTTCTTTTGTTTTCTTTTATAAACAAAAAGGAAGGGGTTAGTACTGCTGCAGATGCATCCATGGAAGGGGATGGGTCAGGGAAGCAGCGTGGAAGATAGGTCTGGGAAGCAGCGTGGAAGATGGGTCTGGGAAGCAGCGTGGAAGATGGGTCTGGGAAGCAGCGTGGAAGATGGGTCTGGGAAGCAGCGTGGAAGGCGATGGGTCTGGGAAGCAGCGTGGAAGGGGATGGGTCTGGGAAGATGGGTCTGGGAAACAGCGTGGAAGGGGATGGGTCTGGGAAGCAGCGTGGAAGGCGATGGGTCTGGGAAGCAGCGTGGAAGGGGTTGGGAAGCAGCGTGGAAGATGGGTCTGGGAAGCCAGCATGGAAGGGGATGGATCTGGGAAGCAGCATGGAAGGGGATAGGGTTGGGACGCAGCATGGAAAGGGATGGGTCTGGGAAGCAGCGTGGAAAGGGATGGGGTTGGGAAGCAGCGTGGAAGGGGATGGGTCTGGGAAGCAGCATGGAAGGGGAATGGGGTTGGGAAGCAGCGTGGAAGGGGATGAAGCAGTTTTGGAAAAGGAAATAGTTAGAAATGCAACAAAAGCATTATGAATTTAGGCATGAGGTTAGGAAACGATTATTTTGAAACTATTGTTTCCGTGTCATTTACATTGAGCCATGATACAGATGGTATGTCAGTGATAAGCCACACGGTAAACAACGTGCACTTTTACAAACTCCTTGAAATGGCTCTGTTGAAGAGTTCACTCCTTTACTTGTTCACAATCATCAAACCAAACTGATTACGATATTCTTTACGCATTGTTTGTTGTAGGTTCATCCAAAGTGATGTACCAGTCTCGCAAAGACCACCACAAAGACAACAAGGGGCCGTATTCACGTAATTATGAGTCCAGTAGCACCGACAGTCATAACAGTAGTTTATCCTCCGGAGATGGACAGGTATTTGTGAACATGAACCCTGATCCGAAGGTAAAGGTCAGGGGTGGAGGTTACTCCAATAAAGCGTTTGTGCCATCTGAGGATGGTGGCCATGACAGAAGTCGTGACAGTACAGGAAGTGAGGACACTAGCGGAGGCTACGTCAATGGTTCTTTTGAAAGTAGTGATACTCCACAAAAAAGAAGATTTTCCAAGCATCAGGAAAACGGCAGTGCTGGAAGTTTGTCACGAAATGGAAGGCGCGGGAGTGCCAGAAGCAAGTCGAACAAAAGACGAAATAGTGCCAATGAGGACAAGAAAGGCGGATTAACGCGAGAAGGAAGTCGTCGAAGGTCAAGGTCGGGGAATGGATCAGGATCAGGTCATAGAGATTCTGGTCGTCAAAGATCACGGTCAAATGGAGAACATGGTGGAAGTCGAAGACGATCCAGGTCAAGATCACCTCATAGTCAGAGTTCAAGTGCGTCATTCGATAAAGAGGGACGCAATAGACATTACAATATCAGCGACATCTCACGGCGAACCCGAGAGAGCAGCAATTCTTCAACTAGTAGTCGAGACAGTGGGGATGAGCGTACAGTGTCTTATGATCCTAACCCTTCTTCACGAGGTCGCCGAAGTCGTCCAAGGACAAGGGAAGATGACCTTGGAAGTCAAGTGTGAGCTTCTCGATAATGAATGTGTAGCTTCACCATAACAGCTCACTGTTGTGTATCCGCAGAGCCTTGTCCAAATATAAAGATAGAACACCCCCATCCACCCGTGTTTCCATGTGGGTAATCCGAAGGTTCGTGACCCAAGAGACTAAGTCACTGGTGCTTCTTCAGTGCGGTCCCAGTCGCACCTCACCTATCTATCCACCTAACTTGCATCCATTCCAGAGTACGTACTCAGACATGGTGTGCCCAGACTCGAATATCTCCAACGTGAAGCACTTCGATATTGGCAAATGTGTTATCAAATGACCATATCAAATCGAGTATATGCCAGAGCGATATATATGATCGCCGTTCCACATGATGCCTTATATGTGCAATTTACGCACTAAAACACACCCACACGTACTCCGAGAGATATATATCTATCGTTGTACACACCAACTGAATGGGACTACACCCAGACACAAAGTAACGTAGTTGTGCTTACGACTTTCCTTCCCTTCCTACACCATTGTGATTATGGTGGATCTTCCTCGAAATTATCTTGAAGGATAGTGACGAAGAAAGAATCAACGAAAGCTGCTGAGGTGGATGTGTGTGTATGTGGCAATATAAGCATTAATTCTGACAGTGGCCTACTTTGATGTCATTTCGAGTTCACCGGACATGACAGGACAGCACTCCTCCCACCGTTCCCTTGCCACATAACTTGCATGTGTGTATGACGGCATACCTACTGACACATGCTGATTATTGTATTCTATGCCCGTATTTAGTCAGCTCTACTCAATAATGAAAAAGAAGATCTTTGACATTAATTAGCATTATTAACTCGCCTTCGACCATAACCAATTTATATTTTTACTTCATCGAAATGGCTCTACGGAATCAATTGATATTTTGTATGGATGTTTCTTCATATAAGGGGCTTTTTATTTGTGCAGTGTATCAATTTCATTCTTGCCTCAGGGCAGCCATTTTTCATATATGAGAAGAACAGATTCACAAATCAACTCAATAAGGACCTGAAGCCTTAAACGTAGTGGGTCATATGAACCCCATATATAGTTCCTAGTTCGAAGCATGTATTGACATTACCAAATCTTTCTCGGAAACTTTCAGATCGAGGAAGCTGTTTATGTCACTTTGTGATAACGTCATATTTAGTACAAATCATTGGCATTTTACGTGTTCGGCGCGGAGTTCAGTCTGCAAATGTGAAGACATTGTATATCATTAGACAACATTCTTGCAATGCACAAGTTAACTTCACACAATATTCTACATAAGTATGTTCGGAATTGCAGATTTCGGAACATTTTGGATATATAGATACTTGTTTCATGTTTACTAATGCTTTGGTCGTCAGTGTTAATCCAGAAAATATTTGAAAAGCAACAAGCGAGTCTTCATTAACATTCGAGCTATTCTCTACTCATCAAGGGGTGCTGAAGTTCTTCAGCACCATTTTGTTTTCAACAATATAATTTTGGTAAGAATTAGTTTCAAACTAAATTAGGTGATGAGCTATATGCACAGTTTGTATGATTGTGTGTATGAATGTTCCCGGAAATGCCCTTCGTTTCATTACATGTGATTCGCAGTTGGCTTTGGGGACTTGAGCGTAATCTAGATTAAGGACTTTCTACACACTTGGGCCATCTCTGGTCCAGATACGGGCTCTTGTTATAACCACATTGAGTGATTATTGTCCATGGGAAGCTGTACCGACTGCAGCAGCATGTACACACATGATGTGTTAAAACACATCGACCTTAGTGTCACATACAAATGACGGATAAAGCTGTGAGCATGGATAGCATTAATCAAACCTCAGAAGGCTTTAACTGTACAGTGTTGTTGTGTTATAGATGCATGTCATTGACAGCTTCAAGTGCTTCACTACATATTCCTTGTGTTATATCGCTTCCTACGTTTATGGAAATTTTTATTTCTACGTTGTCAACACTCTCTTAGTCAGAACCAAACTGAATTCCTTCAAGATACATTTTAGTGATATTCAAACTCTTAGAAAATATATTAATAACTTGTTGATTGTTTGTTATATATTTTCCATCTGGAAGGCAAACAAACGACCAGTCGTTTCTCGGCCTTGATGAGTTGTTTTGAAACTTATTTTAGTCCTTTTTCTAGATTGTGTAACTTGAAACCTTGTTACTTTAAACGTCCTTGTTATTGTATTTATTATTTTCAGTTACATTTTCATGATTGATGATGTGGACACTACCAATATGACATTCTGTTTAAAACTGGTTCCTGTGAGCCTCTTTAGAATGGTTTATGTATGTATGTATTGTTTATGTATGTTTTACCTGTTTCCATGGGTAGAATAAAAAACTTTATGGATAATCATACCATCAAGATATGATATGCCCTACCCTATTCAGAAATGCCAAATACAGAATGGTATTTCCTCAGTGGCTGTCTTGTTACCCTCTGTGACGACGATGTGTGTATGTCAGAGAGCACAACAAATTTCCAAATCTACCACATCTATACATAAGGTACAATAAGCAAGCTGCAAAACAGTCATTCATGACATGGGTCATTGAATACCTATTCTATACGTATCCTTAGTTCACATGTAAATTGTGTAAATGAATCAACATAATCCTTAATAAACGTTTATTATGATCTGTTTGATTGACATTTAGAAGTTGGTGACTAATAAGAATGTAAGATTGTTTATGGATAACAACTTCTTTTATTATATATGATGCGACGTTTCGGTATGGATTCTTATACCGTTGTCAAGCAAGAGTGAAGTACTAAAGCACAGAACAGACTTATATACATGAACAGGGATTAAGTAATAACATGTAGTGCTCTAATCAGTTGTTTTTATCAGTTCATTGTATTATCGAAAAACCACCAGGACTTCACCAAAAGAAAACTTGCAGAGGCAGTTTAAATCCGGAGACACAAGCCCTCAATCAACAGAGACCAGGGATATCTCCTCCCTTCTGCATACAATGAACTGATAAAAACAACAGATTAGAGCACTCCAGCTATCATTGCTAATTAATCTCATCAGCCATGTATATTTTGTTTCTGCCTCTAGGACCATTGGCTTCCTCCTATTGTCACTACATTATTACCACCGTGCCTTGTTGTTGTTGTTAATCCCCCTCATTCATTCCTACATGTTATTACTTAATCCCTGTTCATGTATATAAGTCTGTTCTGTGCTGTAGTACTTCACTCTTGCTTGACAACGGTATAAGAATCCAAACCGAAACGTCGCATCATATATAATATAAGAAGTTGTTATCCATAAACAATCTTACTTTCTAAACGTTTATTATGTTTGACAAACAAACAAACATCGTTAGACAATAAGGTAGAACATGCTTTGTCTGGGTCACACCGTTTCTTGTTACAAGGTTGAATGGGCGTTGGGAGATGAGTGGAATATTGTACTTAGTAACAAGGACATTGAATTTAATTTTCCACTTTCAATATTTGTACGTGGTGTTATACAATGTTCCGAATCAAGAATAAACTGTACATACATGTAATTTCTAATTCATGTTATTGTTGTTTATTTAATTTGAAATGCTTGTGTCATGAACTTATGAGGTCAGTTGTGAGATACGACTAGGGTGACAGGGTTACATCTCACACGTTGAAAATGGTGGCATTCTGTCATTCGGTTATCATTTCTGTGACTATTATTTTCGTTCATGTTCCACGATGATATTGTATCTTTCTGTATTTGGAACCGGTCAAGATCCAAATTTGTTTAGCAGCTCGCTAACACATTCTTGTCACCGCTGCCTGAGTTCTGCACTACGAAAGCCTAATGCTGCCTCTTTTGTTGCATAAAGTATTCCTTTAAGCGAAAGCACTGGTTTCGATTATTTTCTCATAGCTTCAGCTATTTTCTCGTTGGTTCGAATTGTTTCTCGTTGCTTCAAGTTTCTTTCAAAAACTCGAAATTCTAAGCATTTATTCGTTGCTTCAAGTGTCTGTCAAAAACTCGAACTTTCGAGTATTTATTCGTTCAATCAACAATTTTCTCGTTGCTTCGATTAATTTCTTGTTCCTTAAGGTTTCAAGTTTCTGTCAAAATCTTGAAATTTCGAGTATTTACTCGGGACTTCGAGTATTTTCTGGTTACTGCAAGTTTATTTAAAAAGGTTGAAGCAACGAGAATTAATCGAAGCAACGAGAAAATACGTTAGAGCATCGTCCAAATAATCGAAACAACCAGAGAGACACATATATTATGCTACGAAATTGGCAGCATTGGGCTTTCGTACTGCACTGACAATAAGAGCATATAAAGATGGGTTTCTAACAATCTATACACGAACCAGTTAAACAGGTACAATACCTTCACAGGCAGTCAATATCATGTGGTCTTTACATAACCCATCGGAGCAGGTACAATAACTACACAGGCAGCCAGTACCCTATTACCCTGTGGTCTATACATAACCCATCGGAGCAGGTACAATAACTACACAGGCAGCCAGTACCCTATTACCCTGTGGTCTATACATAACCCATCGGAGCAGGTACAATAACTACACAGGCAGCCAGTACCCTATTACCCTGTGGTCTATACATAACCCATCGGAGCAGGTACAATAACTACACAGGCAGCCAGTACCCTATTACCCTGTGGTCTATACATAACCCATCGGAGCAGGTACAATAACTACACAGGCAGCCAGTACCCTATTACCCTGTGGTCTATACATAACCCATCGGAGCAGGTACAGGTACAATAACTACACAGGCAGCCAGTACAGCCTATTTACCCTGTGGTCTATACATAACCCATCGGAGCAGGTACAATAACTACATTACCCTGTGGCATACATAACCCATCGGAGCCAGTAACTACCCTATTACCCTGTGGTCTATACATAACCCATCGGAGCAGGTACAATAACTACACAGGCAGCCAGTACCCTATTACCCTATTAACCCATGTGCAGTCAATATACCATAACCCATCGGTGCAGGTAACAATAACTACTACACGGGCAGCCAGTACCCTATTACCCTGTGGTCTATACATAACCCATCGGAGCAGGTACAATAACTACACAGGCAGCCAGTACCCTATTACCCTGTGGTCTATACATAACCCATCGGAGCAGGTACAATAACTACACAGGCAGCCAGTATTACCCTATTACCCTGTGGTCTATACATAACCCATCGGAGCAGGTACAATAACTACACAGGCAGCCAGTACCCTATTACCCTGTGGTCTATACATAACCCATCGGAGCAGGTACAATAACTACACAGGCAGCCAGTACCCTATTACCCTGTGGTCTATACATAACCCATCGGAGCAGGTACAATAACTACACACAGGCAGCCAGTACCCTATTACCCTGTGGTCTATACATAACCCATCGGAGCAGGTACAATAACTACACAGGCAGCCAGTATCCTGTGGTCTATCCATGAACCATCGGAGCAGGTACAATAACTACACAGGCAGCCAGTACCCTATTACCCTGTGGTCTATACATAACCCATCGGAGCAGGTACAATAACTACACAGGCAGCCAGTACCCTATTACCCTGTGGTCTATACATAACCCATCGGAGCAGGTACAATAACAGCCAGTACACAGGCAGCCAGTACCCTATTTACCCTGTGGTCTATACATAACCCATCGGAGCAGGTACAATAACTACACAGGCAGCCAGTACCCTATTACCCTGTGGTCTATACATAACCCATCGCAGCAGGTACAATAACTACACAGGCAGCCAGTACCCTATTACCCTGTGGTCTATACATAACTCATCGGAGCAGGTACAATAACTACACAGGCAGCCAGTACCCTATTACCCTGGCATACCAGTATCCCTATTACCCAGCCAGTGTGGTGGTCTATAATAACCCATCGGAGCAGGTACAATAACTACACAGGCAGCCAGTACCCTATTACCCTGTGGTCTATACATAACCCATCGGAGCAGGTACAATAACTACACAGGCAACCAGTACCCTATTACCCTGTGGTCTATACATAACCCATCGCAGCAGGTACAATAACTACACAGGCAGCCAGTACCCTATTACCCTGTGGTCTATACATAACCCATCGGAGCAGGTACAATAACTACACAGGCAGCCAGTACCCTATTACCCTGTGGTCTATACATAACCCATCGGAGCAGGTACAATAACTACACAGGCAGCCAGTATCCTGTGGTCTATCCATGAACTAGCTGAGCAGGTACAATGTTTTATCTTGACTTCTGTTGTCTTATTTTCCCATAGAATCACTAACAAGCCAAGTGTATATGCTACCTTTTCCCAAAACATATTGGATGCAGTTTGAAAGTTTCAATTTATTCACTCGTGCATCCTTTCATCTATGTGTCCATTCGTCCTTATATACATCTTCTATACATAATTATATGCTGTTAATTAACAATAGAGCTAGGTTTGGACTGACGAAACGAAGAAGGGGGAATTGAAAGCTAAATCGTTACAGAGGATGAATCAATTAGTCTTCAATTAACGCTTAGTCTCAGAAATATATATTTATTGAAACAATTAGCTCCAGTTAGACTGAAAAAGAGCCCCACTGAGGCGAGAAAGAAATATAGAGTTCAGTAAATGTGAGACAGACAACCAGAAAGCTGAATACATGATAGATAGATACAGATATATCATGATAGATAGATACAGATATACCATGTTATGTTTACACATAATCAAATCATAAATCTATCCAGTGTCACGTCGATTTCCTGTCTCCGTAATAATTGCACCTGGTCGCCATGATTATAATTTTAATTGATATTTGTTTAACACGGATTAGAAATAAAACATATAAGTTTATACTTGTAGATACATTCGTTCTGCTGTACACGTTAGTGGGACTGTATTGCCGGTATATCGCAATACGCTATACAAACGATATGTATTGCAATATATTTTCTGAAAACCGGTATATCGGGTAAAGAACATATATGAACTTTTTGTGATTATCTTTATGGTTTTTATCAAAATCTACACAGACTTTCATTCACAACAAAAGCTTTCCTTTGTTCTTCAATGATAATATGGCATACCGTAATATACTAGGTACATAAAGAAACTGTGCATACAAAAATTTAAAATCTAAATTTATCAAACCTGTGTAAACACATAAGGATTTAAACTCAGAGATTAGTGACATGTATCCAACATGCATGCACGTGCCACGTTCCGTGACGTCAGTGGGTTCGTCCTTGAGACGTGCAATACGTTGTTGCACGTGAAATAGAGCAAATGAATGCCAAACAATACTGTCACTTTGGAAAGCTCAACCCCTGACCTTGCGATCGTTCAAAAAATTAAACGGCTATTGAAACGCATAGCATGCCAAGGCTCACGTCTGCACAACGTCATGAGGCCATTGGGATGGTCCGTGGGGGAATGTCTCAACGACAAGTGGCTGTACACTGCCACCGGAACACCATTTCTGCACTGGTGAGACGCTACCAGAACACAAATGACGTCATCGATCGGCCACGTTCTGGACGTCCACGTGTAACAACGCCAAGACAGGACAGATGGATAAGGGTGACCCATCTTCGCCACAGGTTTCAGACTGCAGTGATGACTGCCCGAACCATCCCAGGACTTCGCCGTATCCACCCCAACACAGTTCGACAACGTTTACGTCATCATGGGATCAGACCACGACGTCCCGCCATACGGTCTATCCTGACACAACGTCATCGACAAGCTCGCCGAATGTGGTGCCGAAATCATGTCCG